AGATGAGCTTGAGATGAGTTGTTTTATTTATGAATGAAAATAATTCAATATGTATTATTTCTTTTATTTTACAGTTAAATTATTATTTATGTAATTAGCGATTTTTGTAGTCTTAAATGTGGCAGAAGCACTACCTACTTCTTGCACTTCAATAAAAAAAGACCCTGTGGAATTTGACAGATTTGTTTTTGCAGTTTTCAGCCTTAGGGAGTTATTTTTCCTGTACAGATATCGAGATATATATCGTATATCAAGATACAGCAAAATATATTGCCATATATTTTTTGTTCCATATCTCCCAGTCCTAATATCGGTACTTGGTATTGTACTCTTTTTGGAAAGTGGTAGTGGTGCATTCCTTATTGTGAGTTATCTGTGTCCCCAGATGTGAGGTAATATGTTTAAATGAAATTATTTTCATTTGATTGTGGCTGTAGTTTTTTTTCTTTTTTTTTTTTTTCCCCCTTCTTTGATTTCCAAATACAGATCTTGTTTTTTAAGCCTTCTAGTTCTTCTTCTTTTTGCACTTTGACACAACCATAAATCACGTTGACTGTCTAATTTACAGCAATACGTATTGTCAATTTCATAGATTACCGTTTTGTCAGTGGTTCATTAGTGCATCTTATCTTCCGTCTGAGATTCTCTACACAGACTTACAAAGGATCTAGTGTAAGATTAGTGCCACACCACAACATCAAATCTGTAGCAGTGTTTGTGCGGAGGGTAAATACCGCGGGGCCAAAGCGCTGCCTGACTCACACCCAGGCTTGTCTTGTCAAGTTTTATCATAGGTCGTATTTTGAAACTTCTGTAACAAAACCCGTGACACGTGTGAGTGAGTACGGTCTGTACCTCCTGTTGACCGTGTGTGTGAGCCAACGCCCAGCTCCTCCCTTGGTGTTTCTAAGCATATCAGCTGTGGGGTTGAACGGGTTAGCTCCTCCCACTGACACAGCGGTCAAAGGGCAAGAACTCGTAAAATACAGTTTGTGACCTAGTGAGGTGGGGAGGTAAACAAAAATGTGAAAGTACTTTGACATAATATTGCTTAAAGATGTGCCACCTGCTTATCTCCATGGCGATGTTTTTGTTTTGACTGGAATCTCTCACAGTATGGTAATAACTGCTGTCTTTGCAATTACAGGTGTTTTTATTGTTCCAAAGAATATTGGGGGAGAAACAAATGCATTCTCACAGTGAGGGGCCTCTACACAGATTTGGCTTGTAACTTGGCATCACTCGCTTGTCTCCATGACATTAATTACATTTAGTGCCCTACTAGGGAACATTCCAGGCAAAGCAGTAACATGGCGACAAGGAAAAAGTAGGCAAACATTTTTTTTAATGATTATCTGTTTTGTTTCTTGTTGACATCCACTCCATTCTTGTCTTTATGGAGATGTCATTGTTTTACCTGGATTGCTTCATAATATGTCAATTACAGATGTGTATTGCATTCATTTAACTACAGATGTTTTTAGTGCTCGAAATCATACGTTCTTACTGTGAGCGGAGTTGCCTCTCTTGGCCTGCTTGTCTCCATGGAATTAATGCCATATTGTGGCATTACAGGCATAACAATAACATCTCCATGGAGAAAAGCAGGTAGTGTGCACTCCAACGGAAAGCTACACCAACACCATGCACCTTTTAAGTAAATGGTTCCCACGGTCATGGAAGTCATGGAAAAGTCATGGAAATTTAACATGTCATTTTCCAAGCCTGGTAAAGTCGTGGAATTTTAGTATCTCTTTCACGCAACTCCAGTGTTCTGTTAAGTTCTCATCAGACTATTATGATTATTTCCGAACATGTGCGCTTTTTGTTTAAAAGAGACAACAATAAATGCACTGGCAGTATTTTGAATATTAAAAAACTATAATTCCAAACCATAAGGTGAGTAGAAAGTGTTAACATTTCATTTTTAGCCCTAAAAGTCTGACCAGTTCTACAAATGTAGGGTGCTATGAAGTCATGGAAAATTCACTTAAGGTCATGAAAAAGTCTTGGAAAGGTTTTTAAATTTTGCCAGTGAAAAAGAGTGGGAACCCTGTAAGTAAATATATCCTAGTTAGTGTTACCCCCTGCTCACAATTTAAAATTATTCACGTGAACATTCATTTGTCACTTGTGGATATGAAAAACATGTCCACTGTCTATAAATATCTCAAATTGGTTAGTTCATTGTTTTAAATGAAGCTAATCCCTACATTCTACTCAACGCAGTTGAGGATGTGATTGCGATGGCAGTAGAGCAGTGACATGTAAGAGCATTAAACAATGAGGAGCAGGGCGTTAAAACTGCAGAACGCACAGCTCCAAATTGTATGATGTGTTTATACCGGGGTTAGGGTAGCAGTTAGCCATTGGAATTCTCGCTGACCATGGTATAACTAAACTTAACTATTCCAAAAAACTGCAGTGATTCAACAGTGTATTGTATGTGATATTGACGCTATGGTAACATGGGGTGTGCAAAAATATAAAAATATCAATATATCGTATCGTTTAATGTGATTATACAGTATTGATATCGTGGACTGCTGTATCGATATATCACCAAGAGTATTTTTTTGGTATTTTTACTCAATTATTTTGTCACAGAGCTGCAGTTTTGTTGTTTGTTCAGAGGAAGGAAACTTTTATGCAGCACATTTGACATTTTCACTGTTTTGACAATTAAATGTTTGTGTTTCATATTCATTTTGCACAACATTGATGATTTAGTCATTGTTTATATTGAACCGTATCAGATTGATTTGAAATATATCGTATAAAATCAAAAGCTCACTGTATTGAGATGTATATGGTATCGTGGCCTATGTATCGAGGTATGTATCCTATCAGCAACTTCTGAGTGATACCCAGCCCTCATGGTAACACAGCGGGAAATGTTTCTATGGCTTAAACCAGTGGAAACAGGTCTTATTGCATTAAAAACTGTCCACCGTCTTCATGCAAGAATGTTTCTCCGAATAAACAGAGACTAACTGATGTCAAATCCTCAGCTAGCTTGTGTCCTGACTTGGGTGAGAAGACTGTAGCACTGTGCTTGCCCGAACACAAATACTTCAACGCCTATCCCAACTTTTAACAGTACACTTTGTTATCTTAAGCTCAGTTACTCATTCTCCACGAACCTGACAGCTTAATAATGGATTTTTCTGTTAGATCAAGTGTTCTGAGCCCCTTTTTAGTCAGGCCCGCACTTGTCCGAATTGTGCACAAAGTCGAGATTCTGCACTCGCATGTGTCTCTCTAGGATACGCAGTGAAAGTGAAAAAATGCCTGGCCTGCAGTCAGAAGAAGGCAGCGGCGCACAAAAGTCAAAACAAGGGCTGGGTCCTCGCGCAGGGAGGGGCAGGAGCAGGCCCTGACAGCAGACACTCCCTGCCCGACCCACCCGCCCGCCTCAACTGTGAACTTCCTCGTGGGTTTACGGGGCGCTGGAGAATGTGAAAAAGCATCAGAGTGACAATAAATTAACTTGGCTTTTCCACTGTCACGAGAAATCAGCTGTTTTCCAGGGTCAATTCTATATGGTTTGTCCCTATATTAATTTGCATACTTTTGTACTGGAACAAGATATGCATTATTGTGAATTAGGGGTTTGCAAAAATAATGAAATACTAAATGTGGAGATACAGTATTGAAGTATAGAAATGGACTGAGCTTTTTATCATATACGGCCTTAAAGGTGCAGTGTGTAACTTTCCTGGTCCAGGGTCCGTTACCTGCTTGTGTCTATGGAGATGTTATTGCTTTGCCTGCAGTGTTACAAATTATAGCATTTAACTTGTCAATCTTCATAGAGACAAGCAGGAAATGCCACCAGGCAAATCTGTGAAGCGGTGACCCCACTCACAGTCAGAATGCACGTTTTAAAAGGTATTTTTAATTGAATAAATGCATCTTATTTAAGTTTAATACCATATTGTGGAACATTACAGGCAAAGCAATCGCATCTCCTGAACCTGAAAAGTCGTAGTGCATTTTTAAATCCCCAAGGAGCACTTATTTTGTTTGGCCCAACCAGCAGTCTAAATGTGCATGAAACATATATATGCATACAACTCTATTTGAACACTTTAGAACATTAGCATAGACTGTACATAAAAAGTGGACTAAGTGAGTGTGACGTCACTTATATGAGGCTTACAGGAGCTAATCTGGAGCCGGACTTTATATTATCAGTAGGATTTTTTTGTACAGACAAAATAGCTAAAAAATAATTCAGGATCATGTGTCGCGGGTTAATACAAACATTTTAAGACCAAAATGAGGCTCATTGCTACAGTTACAGAGAGAGGGGCCACAAGATCCTAATGTAAGTCAGTTGGAGCCACGTGGAGGCTAGGCAGCTATGTCCACTCATATATATGGCGTATGAACATTAGTCTATAGAGGGTACTGTAAAACTGTTTTCTGCGCAGTTTGTACTAAAACAAGGTTGTAGACAAGTTCATATTGAATTCTAATTTGATTATTATTAAATGACCAAAATTGGCCCTACATATTGGACCAGAAATATCGACAGAGGTCACTGGACACTAAGATCTCCGGATTCTAAACAATCAGTATCTGCATCAGCCATGAAAAAACACATATCGATCAGATTTTTTTGTGATTGCACTACAATTTTGTTGCTAATTTAATGGAAGGGAACTTGTTTATGTAATACACTACAGTACATATTCACAGGTTTGATTAAAATATATTTACTGTATTTCCTATTAACTTTGCACAAGTAGTTGTTTAACAATGTAACATTGCTGCTACACTGTATTTGGATCTTATAAAACTGCAATATCACATAGTACCATGTGCAATATATCAATTATTGCATGTATCGTGAGCCATGTATCGTGTATCTTGAATCATGAAGGACCCTGTGATTTCCAGCCCTATTGTGAAGCCATTTGTGTTGTTGCTCTGGTGTATATATAACAAATCAAGAGTAGACATCCTGAATGTGTGTTGTGCTTGTGTGTCTGCAGCCCTGTTCTCAGAGAAGGTGAGGAACATGTCTCCAGATGAAATCCACATCCCTCCTCAGCCACCCGGACGCTGCTCCTCCCAACTCCAGGTAAACACTACACACATGGCTTACCACAACTTACCTGAATGTCTATAGACAGTGATGACATGCACAACTGCCCAGATCCACTGCAGTGCAAGTTGATCCTTGAGCTTTTGTCCCTCCTAAACCATTCTCTAGCTTGGGTTGCCACACCTATTCCACTTCTAAGCAGAGTTAATTAACCACAGCTTTTTGTGTTTATAGATAGCAGGTTGGTGCTGGTTTTATTATTTAAAACATGCTGAAGTGAACTGCCAAAACATCTGAATTTAGCTTTCTGTAGCCTGACATTCAGATAGTGTGGTGAAACACAAGGCTCTGTGTAATGGACATGACAGGGATGAGCACACTATTGCTTTGTTGTGATTGTTTTAAAAAAAAGTGATGCGTATTAAAATGTACTGTACACAGGACTGCCCTGTTTTGAATACTTCAATTTAGGTCTAACGTGATGTAAAAGTTGCGTAGTTGTATTTATAGATCACAGCTGTGCTGCTTGGAGTTGTGCTGAGACATGATTTAGTCTTTTTGCTGTTGAGGTTCAGATTCAGATCGTCTCTTACAATGCTCTAACAATGCTGAAAACCACATGTCATGTAAGGAGGATCTACATTATTGTGTTGTCCAATCTTGGCTTAACAAAAACATATTTTATATAGAACAGTTTTTTCAAATGCTAAGCCAAGTGGATTTACACAACATCTGCTTTGAACATACAGTAAGTTTAAACTTCATTTGAAAAAAAGTCTGTTCAACCTACTAACTAAGCCACTAGTCACAAACCAGCATATAATTAGATGCAAACAGTGCAACAGCAGTCTCATTTTGACCCTAGAAGCCTCTTTTATACTAATAATAAAACTGAAAATCAATACTATATATTCATTTTAGCAGGTAGATACTAAAAAGTCTCATTCACAGGACAGAAGTAAACCTTTCCTGAATAGTTTTAGAATGATCTTTCTCTGTATCAGAACAAATATAAGAGCACATAGACTAGTATATGCACTGTGGAACCTACCTGGACCACTGAGGGATTACACAGATGTAAGGACACATTGTAATATAAAAAACGAGTACTACAATTTATTGTTGTTAAATCAAATTTTATTGCCTAAATAAAGAGTGTTTTTATTAGCATTGTGGTATCAACATCAGTATTGAGTATCAAGTCTATTCCTTAGTATTGAAATGTTTTTAAATGTTATTACTGTGATAGCGCTACCTCAGGTTACTATTAACTCCTTTACACAATTCAAAATTAGTCTCTATCATGTGCACTCTTCCATCTTATAAAGTAAATATCTGTTCCTTCTGGGCTTAGACATAAATTCTAGTGGCAGCTTGAATCCCGAGACTCGCCCTTGTAATTAAAACAGCTCCTCTCCTTGACGCTCCTCTCCCTCTTTTCTCGCTCTTCTCTCCCTCTCCTCCTCTCCTCTCCTCCTTCCCCCACAGGCAGGTCAGGACATAAGCAGTGTACCGCGCAGGCTGCCACTCCCAGACAGTGAAATGAACAAGTCATGAATCAGGCCTGAATCACCCTCACAGCCCTGTACCCGTGCCCTGCGGCTGTAGAAACACACTGCTCACAAGCACCGCACTGATTACAGCAAATCCACTTTTACTGCCACATTTCGACACTTGAAGGGCTGTGTTGTCTTGCTGTCATTGGCTAATCGCTGTGTTGACGTTCACAGGAGGTAGTTCGTCATTTCATTGATTATGTTATTTCATCAGTCGATTCGTCACTAATTAAATATTTGAGTAACATCTTAGACTTAGACTTGGGCAGATTTTATTGATCCACACAGGAAGTTATTTGGACACAGTAGCTCACACATCACAATAATATAATAACAAAGAGCAAAAATATAAATGGTAAAATAAATTCTAAATAAGTAGCAAAAAAAGATCTGCATCTAGGTATTTATTTAAGGCAACCAGCTTATTTTCTTATTTATTATTATTGTATTTATTTGTAAAGGGACAGCACATACTAATGAACATTTAAAACGTAAATATGTAAAGATGATAGTTAGCATGGCTAATTTCCATCTTTAATCCCTCGGCAGCTTGATGTCAAATCATCTACAGGACAGGGAAAAGTAAAGGAACAATCACACAAACGTACAGAACACCAGCACACTCACTATACACACAATTCATTTCAGACAGTTCATTTGAAATTCGAAGTCAAGAGTTAAAGAGTTAACTCCAACAATCCCTCCGTTTAACAAAAAAATTCATTCATAACCACTGTTTTAAAGCTTTGGAAAATGTATTGGAAAATTGGAAAATTCCATGTTTGACCTGCTCCAGAAGCAAAAGAGAGCTGTCCACAAGCACTTTTCCTAAACGGCACAGAGCAGTCATCTCTAGAACTGCTCTTATTTCCGATTTGAATTTCTTTTCACAAACTCCTTCAGAGGAGGTGGAGCAAGATTATTAAAAACTTTGCATACCAAAATTAAATCTGCATATTTGATTTTAATTCGATTTGTATTCTGCAGTAGTGATTATTAGTGGGCTTTTGTTTAATACCTTTTTTATAAATACTTTCAGGTTTAGTTTAAAGGTCCTATATTACACAAAATTGACTCTTGTGAGCTTTAAGGCATGTTATAATGTTGTTACAGCAAATGTTTGAATAATTTGTGTTATTATTAGTCTGTCTATAGCTAAAGCTCAAAATGCTCTGTTCCACTTTGTGATGTCATGAAGTGGTAGTTTTCACAGCTCCTTTCACCTTAATTCACCTTAGTTCACCTTAAACACCTTTAACACCTTAGTTCAGGAGAGATTGACAGTTCCAGAGCTGTGTGTGTCAGTAGTGGTTGGAGGAGGCCTAAAGCAGCTACGGCTTTATTAGGTAATGTTACCAAATATAAGCAAGAAATTTTAAATTTGGAATTTAAGCTTTGAGAAAATCCTCCATGTTTGCTGAATGTCTCTATCCTCTCTCCCCCCATTTCGCACTATAAGACTAATGCATTATTATTACATTTACCAATATGAAGATCCATTTTGATTTAATAAAGGCTGGATGAATTATTCAATTAAGTTATTACTCAGTATCTGCTTTAAATGTCTCTGTAATCCCTTGGTTGTCTAGGTAGAATTGATTTTTTTCTTTAAATCTAAACTGAAATGATCTAAAATGCAGGAATAAAGAAACATTGCATGTGGAAGCCATGTATGTAGCTGCATAGCAAGTTTACTACAATATGCTTAAACATTGAATTAGTTTAATATGTTTTTTATGATTTTCTTTTTACTAAATGACTTTTTATATGTAAGTTCATATTCATATATTATGTGCATGATCCAAAATCACCTGGTCAGTGACAGACTGTCAGCATTCCTCTTTCTCTTTTCAGCCCTGTCACTGCCCTGGCTCCATCTGCTGCTCTCTCTGTGGTTCACTTTAGAACCTGGTTGTCAAATATCTCCAGACAGTAGCAGAAATGTTTAGGACAATACTCCCATTCATCATTACACAACAGTTTTTTTTTTTCACTGTATTTTAAGATGTGAACAATTGTGCAAAGGTTTCTGTTTACATTTTTTCTGACAAATATTACTACTGCTGCTAATACATTTGTTATTTATTCAAAACTTTGTTATCCTGTCCTATATTACTCTTTTTAACCATGTTATGATATTATTAACTTATTAAAAACAAAACCAGAGTTGTGTTTTGTTTAATTCTCACAATCTGTGTCCAAATCTTAAAATACTCCGTTCCACCTTGTGATGTCATGTAGTGGTCTCTTTCAAGTTAGCAGCTACATTTTTATCTTGAGTTCAGTAGAGATGGGCAATTCCAGGGCTGAAATTATCCAAATCATCCAAACGAAGGTGTATGGGGTTTAAAATCACAATGGAGCATTCCTGTATTACCACATGGTGGAACAGTGTTTTCCCATTTTCAGCCTAAATATGCAGGGTTTTTGTGTTAAACATGTAAATGAAACAAAGCACAACTCCAGATATGTTTCTGATGAGGAAAAAAAAAAAAACATTATACTTTTTCCCCCTAAATTGTGCATCCTAATGTAAAGTACATTTTGTCATGTCATGTCATGCAACTTCCAATCTTGGGACATCAGTACTTACTATTGCTTTGTTTTGCTTTGTTACAGGAAAAGATCCACAAGCTGTATGAGAGAAAGCTCCATGGAAACTTCGACACAAACAGCCACATTCAGAAGAAGAAAGAATTCCGAAATCCCAGGTACTTTGCATTTTCTGGGTCATTCTTCCCACTTTTTAAAGAACACATATTATGCATTGTTATGGCTTCAGTTACCTATATAATATACTAATAATGATTGAATATGGAAAATACTTTATAGATCTTATTCCACTCTGCTTACGGGCTTTAAAACTGCATTGGGGAAGTCTATAGTTTTATCTGTGATGCAACTAAACAGGCAATATGTGACTGGAGCATTTTTGAGTGCTCAGAGATGACAATTTTGGATTAATGGAAGTCCTATACTAAGCAAAAGATTTAAGAGATGTTTTAAATTATAATTTAAACCATGTTAAAACGTTGGTAGGTGCTTTTTGTTTCACTTTCACATATTTGAGCAATCCTTTATTATTTAGTCTGTCTAGGGATGTAACAATAACCGAAATATTGTGACATCATATCGTCAAAGTTGTCACAATAATATCATGGACCATCACAATATATCGAATTACAAGTCTCTTTGCTTAAATTAAATTATGGTGCAGCAATACCTAAAAAAAAGACAGAGGGAACTACATAAACCATGATCCTTTGCTACATTTCAGTGCAGACTACAAGAAGAAATAACACTTTTAAGTCTTAATTCTTTGGATTAAGTCTTGTCAAAGCATTTAAAGAGGAAAAAGTAGCATATTAACAGTTTTGTTAGCTTCCACAGAATATCGCAATAAATATCATACCATGAGATGTATATCGTGAAAATATCATACTGAAAGATTTGGATATTGTTACATCCCTAATCATAAGCCGCCTCAAAATATCATGAGCTTTCCCATATCTCAATAAATATCGTACCATGAGGTTCATACCGTGATGATATCATATCATGAGACTTGGATATCATTACACCCCCAAGTCTGTCTACATTTCCCAAACTCAAAATGCTCTGTTCCACCTTGTGATGTCATGAAGTGGTAGTTTTCAATTTAACAGCTACAATTTACTTTTTGTTCAGTAGAAACTGGCAATTCCAGGATTTTTTAAATGATTCTAGCGAAGGTGAAAAGATATTGGGGCACTTACTGTATTACCACATGACATCACAGGGAGGAACACAGCGTTTTCCACTTCAGAGAAAGTCGATCTGAAAATAGCGTAATATGGGCCTTTTATTAAAACAAGCATGAATGAAACAAAAATATAACTCCAGGTATGTTTGTGATGAGGAAACATCATAACATGGTAAAAGTTAAAAAAGGAAATCTTGCATAGTAGGTGTTCTCTACTGCTGTTTTGTTTTTTTGTTTTTTTACTGCTGTTTTGTGTTTTGTCTCATATTGTCAAATTTCTTTCCATTTTAGCATCTACGAAAAGCTCATTCAATTCTGCAGCATAGACGAACTGGGAACCAACTACCCAAAAGACATGTTCGATCCGCACGGGTGGTCGGAAGATTCCTTTTACGAAGCGCTAGGTAAGTCTTTTTCCATTTGCTGCAAAAGGTTCGGGTTTGGGTTCAGTGCTAATTTGTGTTTTTGTTTTGTTTTTTGTTTTTTTCAGCCAAAGCCCAGAAAGTGGAGATGGACAAACTAGAAAAAGCTAAAAAGGAGCGTACCAAGGTGAAGTGTTTTATTTATTCCTTTTAGGGTTTCTACGTCATGGACAAGTCTCTACCAGCAACTGTAATTTAGATTCTTCTGAACTGAAAAAAATAGTTAGGAGTTCATTTGAGGCCGTGCACAGTAGCTTGATAACATTATCTGTTTTAAAGTAATGAAAACAGCTCTCATTTTGTCCACTTTAAAGATGTTCTCTGTCCAATTATGAAAAAGCTGAAACTGTCCAAATAGGTCTTGAAAGAATATTGACAATTAATTAAATATAAAGGCATTTTGTTTGTTTTCTTAATCAGATTCCAAAAGTCTTAGCGGTACTGACCGGTGTAAAAGCGGTATATTCAAAATTTAGATTTTTTTTTTTTATGTAATGAAAACTGATTAATTTCATTCAGGTTAATTATACCTTTTTTTTCTTATTTATAGAACTAGCTTTTTTTCCCCCTTCACATAACCCCAAGTTGCTCTCAGTCACTTTTTTCCTTGTTTCCATGGAGATGTTATATCTCTGCCTGAATTGTTCCATGGCATTAACTCTCTTGTATAAGTCTTTTTGATATTTTTTTTTATCTCTCAACCACTTTTAGGGCATCACCTGCTATATAGATGCAGTAACATACTTTTAATACCATACTGTGGAACATTCATGGCAAAGCAATCACATCTCCATGGAGACAAGCGCACGGCAGACCATTGGAACATTACGTAATCCTTTATTTCAAGATTCACAGATCAGTTTAGCAGACAGAAGGTAACCATGCATGGTGAAAATACTACCAAAACACTTACATGGTACCACTTAAAACAGCTTGAACAGACATGTACAGTACATAGGTGCCTGTATTTACATTGGGAAGTGGTACTGAAGAAGACTGATGCCTGCAGAGATGATTTTTTCGTGTTTCATATTAGCCTGCAGGCATGTCAGCACATACTCGATCTAGCGTTCCCCTTAGCAGACACATTCCTCTGTACAGCGCTGCGTGGGTGAATGTGGAGCTGACTCATGACGCGTTTTACAGATCGAGTTTGTGACGGGGACAAAGAAAGGAACCAACGCCTCCAGTACCACGGCCCCCACCGCCAGCAGCACCAGCAGCACCACGGCTACAGGTAACTGCTTTGGAATGTGTTCTTAAAGGGCCCATATGACACTATTTTCTGATCTATGTTATAATATAATCATAATAATAATAATGTTATATAAAATATACTCTATTCTGTATAAATCAGGTACAGGTGCAGTAGTTGGGTGGAGGGCATGAGGGAGCAATCTGTCTGCCTGTCTGTGTGTATGTACTGTATGTATGTGCATTTGTGTGATTGATGTTGCTGTAAGTTTTGCATTCTGTGTGTGTAAAATCCCTCCGTCCTCCAGGTAGAATCCATGGCAAAAGGAGAAATTAAATTTGTCAGCTGAATATTCTGTCTCTTGTCTTGTGTATTACTAATGATTTATAAAATAAATACATAATAAATAAATGAAAATAATGTTGTTTCCTCATCAAAAACATTCCCGTGGTTGTTTTGTTTAACACACAAACGCTGAGTTCTTCTGGGGTAAAAAAGGAAGTGCTCTACTTTGTTTTAAAATTTTGTACACCTACAGAGAATGCAGGATTTGTGAGTTAAATGTGAGGGTAAATGAAACAAAACAAAACTCCAGGTTCATTTGTGATGAGGAATCAACATTATAACATAGACACGTTAGTTTGTACATTTTTACACATTTTTTCTTGTCAAAACCTGCACTGGTGTAAACAATCAAAGAAATCAGATCTGGAATCTTTTACACGACATTTCAGTAATCTGACTCCAGAAATCAGATAATCAGATCAGATTTCCGGTGTGCATTTAAACATAACCAGTGACACAGCAGCAGCAGGGTGATATCGGTTATGCAACCACATGAGAATTTCTTGTAAACCACATAGACTGGATATAGGAATGGACATAGCTCCAAACAGGAAGTGAGCATGGGCACGCTTCTGGCTTTATCGGCTTCAATTCACTTTATACTGAAAAAAAACATCTCATCCATCTCTTTGTAAATTTTCATGTTAATCCGCTCTACATGATCCTGGTGTTTTTATTTTCCTAGTTCTAATATGGATACAGATACAGTCTTTGGTAAAACTCCAAAAATGTCTCCATTATTCAACTTTTAATCAGTTAATAATAATAATAATAATGATGAAAATGATAAATAAATCCCCCTTATTGTGTATGTTGTGGTATGAATTGCTTCTAACTCATCCGCTTGTGTTTCAGATGCGCAGAAGAGGAAAAGCAAATGGGACTCTGCAATACCCGTGACCCAGCCCACCATCATCACAACCTCTGCCACCCTTCCCGCTGTCGTCTCCGTGACAACCACCGCCAGCGGCACCAAAACTACCGTCATCTCTGCCGTGGGCACCATCGTCAAGAAGGCCAAGCAGTGAACAAAGCAGGGAGAGGGCCTTTCGAATGGAAGAGACCTGCCTATAGTTTAATATGGGACACACTCAAATTTCGAATTTCAGACATTTCATCTACAGACTTTTTTTGAATTTTTCTACAACTTTGCAAGAACTTGGAAGTTTCATCTAGAACTGGTTGTACCGATTTCTTCACGGGCCCATATTATGCTTTTCCTGGTCTATGTTATAATGCCTCATCACAAACAGACCTGGAGTTGTGTTTTGTTTCATTCACACGTTTAACACACAAACCTTGCTTATTTAGGCTGTGTTCTCATCTTGAACTGAAAACACTGTCCTACTTTCTGATGTCATCTGGTGATACAGGAAGTGTTCCACTGTGTTTTTAAACTCCATAAATCTTCACTGGAATCATATGGATGATTTTAGCCCTGGAATAGCCAATCTCTTCTGAGCTAAAATGTAGTTGTTAACTTGAAAGAGACCACTACATGACATCACAAGATGGAACGGAGCATTTTAAGATTTGGAGATGTAGACAGACTAATAAATCAGGATTACTCAGACATGTGTAAATAAAACACAATGAATGTGAATGAGCACAACTCCAGGCCTGTTTTTGAGGAGGTAACAACATTCAAGACTTAAAGAGTGAGAGAGGTGAATATGACAAATCTAGTATTTACCATAGATTTTTTTGTAAATGTTATAGAAAGGGAAAGGTGTGAAATATTTTTTGTCAGCTGTTGCAGTCAAAATGGTTAAACTTGTGCATAATTTTCATCCCTCTAATTTTACCGCAATGAGTTTTTATATCTGTACATATGTATTTCTCAAAAGGTGAATAAACAATTCTGATGTTGCCTTTTCACTCGGGAGTCTTATTTCTTGTATTGGCTAAACTTTTTTTTGTTTGAAATTAAGTATCTATTTCTAGTTTCAGCTGAAATCACATGTGGCATCCGGGTGGAGGTCTGTCATCCTCTCATTTTTATGGATGCAAAGTTCACTGTACAACAAGATTGATAAAAGTACTACTAGCTTCCCATTGTACCTGTCTACTGTAAGGAAAATATTTGAATATCCAGTAATCTTAGGAAACATAAGAGCAGTGGATGGTAGAGTAGCCCAAAATGTAAGGTTACTTCAAAATAATATTTCTCAAGTAGTAAAAGTACTAAATAGTGACCTGTGATATTACTCAAGTAAGAATTGCTTGATGTAATATCTGATTTATAATTTGAAGTGAATGTAATTGGAAGGACAAAACATGAAATAATGCACAAAATCAGGTATTTTCAAAGGATGGACACAAAAATTAGACAAACTAAATCATATCTGAAGGAGCGGTGCAAGAAACACAAATTTTCTAATCATTCCATAATGTCACTTGTAGACTCACATTGCATTAACGGCCACTTTTAAGATTAACTGTTTTTATTGTTTGTTTGTTTTTTGGTTGTCTTTATTGTAATGAATGCACAGTAACACGCTTAGTAATACACAGATGTTTCTTAGCATAATTAGCTTAGCAAAAACTGCGCCATTCCTGTGTTTAGTCTTCCCTTTTACAGTTAAATGCATCTTCTACCACATTAATTAAGACCACAGTAAAGTGTGCTATGTATAACTTGAACCAACAATTCAAACAAGCTCATTGTTAACTCCCAATTAAACAGTAATTACCTATCCTTATCCTGTTGCATTTTATTAAGCATATTATTAAGCTACATGTTATCTTTCAAGTACGGCTGTGCAATATAATCAAGGTGAACAAACATCTGTTTTTCCCGGTACAGTCCCAGTTTTGAGCTCTGTGTCCCCTGTCCCAGCAGATTTATACAAAACCACTGATTTGTCACAGTTTTATACAAGAACGTGTCCCTATTTTTCACCACTTTTTTTTTACCTATCAACAGGAAAGAGAGGCATAAATTGTCATTTGTTTAGATAAAATACTGAAAAGCTGCTTAAAAATGACCAAAACACAAAGAAAATGTGACTGCTTATTCACAGTCAGTCACTTTTAGTTATGAATGGGCTGGGTGCAAAACAGTTTTCCTTAATTTCGCACTCCTTTTACAATTTTATTATTGCCAACCACCCCAAACCGAAAGTGTACAGTTTTTGATTTAGAAAATCTGGTCACCCAAAATGTAATTAATGTAATATTCATTTAATTAAAATTTAATTATTTGCAGATCACAATGCTTACGGCAGGAAAAGCATGTTTGGAAGAGTCCAGATTTTGGAGGTGAGTGTTAATTGTGCTCACTAAAATTAAAAGTCTGCTCTTGTTGTTCTTCTGTTTTTGTAATCAAGAATTATCTGTCGGGGGTATTTGAGGACACAGTTGAGTTAGGTCATGTTTATTTCATTTAAAATAAAATCTTACATACAGTTCTTGTGCAGAAGTGACATCAGTAGACCCAGAAGAGCAGCTGTTTCTGTGATTGTGATGTAAATAATGAGGGGGCCGATCACAGACAACCAGTGTGTAGTAGTACAGTGTGTGGGCAGTCTCTCTGTGCTGGTCGCTCCTCTGACCTAAACTTTCAACTGCTCTTTTCAGACAACAGGCATGTAGCAGAGTGAAAGGAGACTGCTCTGTCCCCACGGATGACCATATCAACAACTACAACTTCTTTTCTCTAGTAAGTAAAACACAGTTACTTATTATAATATTTAGTGAGAATTGAGAATCCAATTGGCATAATTGACTTTGATTTTTTGGGGGAGGGGGTTTGGCCTATTCATTTTAGTGTGATTTTTTTTCGATTTTAGTGTTATTTTTGCGATTTGTTTTAATACTAGGATTCTGTTCAAAGTTCACATTTTAAACATGTGCAGAAGAATTGACATAAAGACAACATGTTCAGAACATGTTTGTACAGATCTAAACTACAGGGTTAGCAGCTTTTATGCAGAATAAGACAGGAGATTTTGTTTGTGGAGGAAATTATGATAATTAAAAAATTTGCAGATTGTGTCCATTCAAATTGTAATGTCAGTTTGCTTGCCGTTCTTTTTTTCTGTCATTATTATTAAAGTAGATCTATGCTGCAATTATTTAATAATAATAATAATAGTTGTTTCCTTTCTCATTTACCCCCCTCGAAGTTGTATTTGGAGTGATTTTTGCATGTTTGAGTGTAATACAAATAAAATTTCATATTATCATTTTCAGATTTTTTTTTTTTCCAGTTTTAAGGCTAAAGGTTTGCTGTCATAATAATAATTTTTTTGTAAGGTGGACAAAAGTATGATTTTTGTCATTTTGCCCAGTTACAAATTCTATCTTGATTGACGTTCATTTAGTAACTTTATCTTTGTGTTTAAGAAGCAATAAAAGCTTTCATTGTGTTCTACCAGTTCACACCTCACTGTGACTGGTTAAATCCACCTGTCACTCAGAGCATGATGCAGATTGACCAATAGGAGAAGTGGGTGGGGAAAGTAGATGGAACATGTTTGATCACAGAGAGCAACACTGATCATTGTAGGAACTTAACACCATACAATATATTATTGTTTTCTTATTGTTTTGAAGTTATTTATTTATTCAAGCTACTGATCAAAACTGATGAACAGAGAAAAGATACAGTTTAGTTTTTTACATTTCCCATACCATATGTAATGGTTGCTTTTGAAGTTGGTCACATTTCCTTTGTCACAGGCGGTGAACTCTGTCATGCTGGTTGTGACCTGTTTTCAGAGCCATGGGGAGATTTGTAGTCTCCAGTGAAGGTAGCTGCAACAACACAATCAGAGAGCAGGGAGTAAAGGATTGTGTGTCAGGACAGGGGCAGTGCTCAGTGAAACCTACTCCCCTGTGTGCACCATGCAGCCTTTCACACCCCATCTACCACAACCTCCTCTGCTCTCAGCTGCTACACAGAAGCTAATGTACTGGCTTAGGCACAATAACAATAACTTTACTTCATAAGAATGGAAGTTTTGTTTCTTAGAAATGAACATTCAGGGGTTACATAAATAGTTACTCAGGTATAATACATGTTGAAGTAAGAATAATTGGAACATAAGCATAAAGTCTGATTAGAGTAGGACTGGGTGATATAGTATTTTATTCGATCCCTGATCCCTTTGACAGTCTGCTATTTTATTGCTATTGTCAGTGTTTACAACACTTTTGAGTGTTTACAACACTCAAAAGAAGCATATAGTTGTACCTTATATACTAGTAGTTGTAGTAGCTTATAGATCACACGTATCTAGTTTGTGTACATGAATTTTTAACAATTTACGTTTGGATCTAGAAGAGATCAGAAATTGATACATGATTTGATTGAAATGCACACAACATAAACAAATCATAGAAATATAAGCTGAAAATAAGTTGCAAGAAACGCAAATGTTCATATTGTCAACATAAAGCTTTTGACACTTGTAGACTTACACAACTTAGACAACTTTTATTCAAGAGGAACTTTACTGTTTGTGGTGTTTTTTAGTACTATGCTTAGTACTGAGTACTAATTTCTTACTACTTACTCTAAGTAAATGTGCCTGGTTATTATCCATCTATAATTCATGTCGGCCTGTTTTTGCAAGATTTTGTTGTTTTTTTGGGACTGTCAATGTCATATCCTATTAAAACAAACCATTACAGAAAACCTGATCCATTTACCTCTATTTACCTTTCATATTTCTTTTTCAAAACCTTCCTTCATTAGATTGAACTTCTAACAGAAAACACACGACTTAACCTGTGCAGTGGTGACAAACTGTTTTATATGAGTGCACACAGTGCATTTCCCATAGCCTGCAGCCACTGTTCTTGCTCACTCAGCCACTCCCAAGGGCTTGGGAGGAGGCCACGAAGGAGGGAGGGGCCTGCCGCGCACTCTCAAGCCCACACAGGTGAACTGCTGTCGGGCTGGAATGCAGCAGAGGTTGGGTGGGGGCTCTCTGACACATACTGAGTGACTGAAGAGAGAGAGGTGTGGAGATTTGCACGTTATACAGACAAGGGGAGATCCGACTATCACAGCACAGCACCTGGGGAAAGAGGAGTTATCAAGTCTACTCTCTGGTATTCACATGAGTGCATTTAGTCTGCTGCACTGGGTTTGATTCAGTAAATATTTGACCAGGAAGGCAACGCAACAAGTCACACAAAAGACAACTGGGAGCATTCTTTTACGCTAGACTTTGAACTTCACATGTGGACTTGATAGCTTGACTTATCTTCTTATCAACGCCAGAGGAAGCAAACTTTTTTTCACTTTCACAGAACCAAAGGATATATTTGTCTGTCTTAAAGGTATTACTGGACTCGTGGACTTTGGAGCACGAAAAGGTATGTTCTTAAAGCAATGTGATTCTTATATTAGATTTCAGATAAAAAAAAAAAATCTTCATTGCTATATTTTTGGTAAAAGAAAAAGAAAAAAAAAAAGCATTTCAAAGTTTGTATTAAAAATTTGTGCCTGTAGCTTTTGTCTGACTTACCCCTAACACAACACAAACTTCCCATTAAAAGTCTGTACAGTTCCAGACTACGTTTTGGATTGGAGCTCACTGGCATGACATCATTTGTAACAGATACTGCTCCTTACTCTGTGTAGTAAAAATGTATATATATAATTTTGGAGGCATGAATAAATCAATTAATTTTCTTACCTGCACATTCCATTGTACTACATGGTATAACTTTTGTCTGTTGTTTCCTCTGGCGCTGTTTCAGAGGTGGATACTCGTTACATTTACTTGAGTAACCTTTAAAATAAATTGTACTTTTCTGAGTACTTTTCTAGCAGCATACTTCTGCTCCTACCAGTAATATTTTTACAAATTGTAAACATTGTGGTTACTCTTCCCACTGTAAGTGACAAAAGCTTTATGTTGACAATCTGAAATGACCTGAACATTTGTGTTTCTTGCAGCGCTCCTTCAGATGTGATTTAGTTTGTCTAATTTTTGTGTTACTCCTTTGAAAATACCTGATTTTAAACAGCTCTACCTTATATTTATTCAATTCTAGGTGGTTTTATGGTTAAAAAATACCTAGAAAAACAGTCATTCTGTCTGTGAGCCTCTGGGTCGCCTCTCCACAGATCTGACCTGTAACTTGGTCTGGTTTGGTCTCTGTGAAGATAGGTTACCATACTGTGAAACATTCCAGACAGAGCAATGACATCTCCATGAAGAAAAGCATTTGACGGACCCTCCACTAAAAAGTTACACAATGCACCTTTAAATTACTTTTACCCGAGTGTGGAGTAGTTTTCACAAATACTTTTTTACACTTACTTGATTAATTGGACCACTACTTTGTACTTCTACTTGAGTAATATTATTTTGATGTAACACTATTCTTACATGAGTATAATTTTTGGCTACTCACCCCTACAAACCATTGCTCTCTTTCTCTCTCATGTGTTAAGCAAGATGAAATGCAGCATGCCTTTTGTAACTTCATCTCTGCTTGTGGTTTGTGTTCATCGCCTATGATACATAATAGTAGAATAGTTTCAGCTTTTGGCCATTACTTTGTTGTTGTAGTGTCTTCTTGTACAATGGAATGTGCAAGTCTACCATAGATCTGTCGCGCCAACATCGTAAAACTGTTATGACAGTACGTAGTATGGTATATATTACAGATTTTTTTTAGTTGAGTTTTTTTTTTTGTGTGTTTTTAGTAATTTTAGTTTGATGTGTGCTTGTTTGAGCGATATAGTTAAGAATTTTGACTAAAACCCTACATGTTAATACTGCTTCCAAAATGTTGCAATTCGACTTTTTTATCAGTGTATGAGTCAGTTCATGTTATAATGTTGTTACCTCCTCAAAAACAGACCTGGAGTTGTGTTTTGTTGCATATGCACATGTTTGAGTAATCCTGCATTATTAATCTGTTTACATCTGCAAAGCTCAAAATGCTCAGATCTTGTGATGTTTTCAAGTTTTCAAGTTAACAGCTACCTTTTTGTTTAGTAGTAATTGGCAATTCCAGGACTGAAATTACCTAAATGATTCTAGTGAAGGTGTATGGAGCACTTACTGTATTACCTCATGACATCACAAGGTGGAACAGAGCTCAGCCAAAATAAATAGGATGTGTGAATTGTATGTTTTTGAGGAAACAACATAGTAACGTAGATCAGAAAAATAATTATTATAATAATTCAGCCCACAGTGCAGATTTGAAACACTTCTAGGAGGGTTAATATTTGAGAATATATAGACTGGTAGACTGATAAAATCGCATCACAACAATGGTGTATTACAGCCGTTCAAGTTTTCATATATTATATGAATGACATATATTATTACATATTCCTGACTCCAGGTTGTACATTTTTGTTACATTTGGACTAAGCCATTTTTATTTTTGTGTTTTATTTTTTCATTATACTGCTCACAAGTCTAGTGTACATTTAAGTGGGACAAAGGGGATTCTAATGTTTGGTTGTAGGAGTGTGCCAAAATATTGAGAATGTTAATATTTTTTTTTTGTAATACAGTCAGAATATACATGTTTTTTTTTTTTTATAATTCAATGTGTATAGTGGTTTAACAAAGATATAATGCTATTACATGTATAGCCATTATGACATTTGAATCAAGATTCAGTCATTTCAAACTTTCTGTTATATTCTTGGGGGTTTGTCATGGAGAGGTCCACAGCCAATCTTATGTCAGTAAAAGCATGTGGTTTGGAGCAGAGAAAGACATTTGACTCTTTTTTGTATTAAATAGTATTGACTTAAAGCCTATCTTTTTTATATTCATGTAGTCAATACTGAAAGACATTTTATGTCATGTTTTGAAAAGTTTAGGTCAATCAGTATAATTATTATGCCATATCACTCAGCCCTATTCACTATATTGGTATATTATTGCATTGCGAGTCATGTATCTTGTACATAGAATCATGTTGAACAATGTGGCTAAAACCCTATTCCTAACTGTAAGTAGGTTATGCTTAAAATTCAATTAGGCCAAGTAGCTAGTGGCACTGACTATATATATATATATATATATATATATATATATATATATATATATATGGACAATTTACATTTTAAATTTCATAAACACGAGGTAAACATGTTCATATCCAATAGAGCTTTAACAATGGTAATGTGGATTTTTTCTTATTTACACATTGGACTGGACTTGGAAGTTGTTTGCTATAATTTGGTGTTTTGGTTCAAGAAAATTATCCAATCAAAAAGCTGAATGAGCCTCACACGACTCTCTCATTTAAGTTGCCAGTTCCAATGCTGAAATTCCGTTGGTTGAAACCTAAAATGCCTCTCTCTGATCTGAATACTCACTCAGCACCTGCAGCATTATGAGTCAGTACCAGTGCAGGATCTGCAGCTCAGGGAGGGAATCCTGGAGGTTCTTAGCTTTCACATGAGACATGTTCTGTCCTTATACTGAGAGTGAGACGCACTTGGATGTGTCCTCTGTCTGCAACCCAGGCTCACTGGTGATTGGAGCAACTTTTCTAAAACAGTAAAAGCACAGGCTGCCTACAACTCCTTTAACTGAAAATCTTCATTGGCATTTGGTTTAGTTCAGGGTCAAGTTGAAGGCTGTTTTGTTCCTGACTCTCCCTCAATGATTTATGGGGCGCAGTGGCAGAGAGCCATGCACACACACCTGCTAACAGCCCGTTCCCATGTGGTTTGAGCGCGCACAGGTCAGCCTCTCGCACTCCGGACAAATTCCTTGTGTTGGCCTTGTAAATCTCAACAGTTCAAAATACAAATGAGCGTGTTTCCACTGTCACATACCATCATCATTGGCCCACTGAAGTAATTGCAATTCACAGAGGCATAGTTGTCCCTTTGTTTGACTTCATTTTTGGGGTTTTTAATAGCAGTGAGAGAATAGGGCCTTTATCCTACAATCTGTGATCTACTGTATATGATGTGCTGGAAAATCTGTGTATTAGTATATGTGCACTTTGTCATTTTTGTCATGGGTGTTCCATCACCTGCTTGTTTCCATGGATACTTATTGCTTTTCCCTAAATGTTGCACTGCATGACTTTAAACTTATCTAGCATTTATTTATGTAGTTGATCGGTGACTTGGCCTATTGGTATCACCTGTTAGTCTATATAGATATCGACACCTTTAATACCATACTGTGGAACATTCCAAACAAAGCAATCACATCTCTTTATTTATTTTATATAGCGCTTTCACAGACATTTTCTGTCCCCAAAGACGCTTTACAGAGCATTATTCATTCACTCTATACCCTGGTGATGGTAAGCTATTATTGTAGCCACAGCTGCCCTGGGGCACACCGACAGAAGCGCAGCCGCCATGCCACTCAGCGCCATCGGTCCCTCCGACCACACACACACACACACCACTTTCATACTAGGCAATGTGGGCGAAGTGTCTTGCCTAAGGACACAATGATTGAATTGATTGTATTTAATTGACCTTGACTATCAACTGTTCTTGGAGACCTGTAGCATGTTTTGGGTTGATGGGCAAAACCAGAGCGCCGGAGGAAACCCATCCAGACACGGGGAGAAACATACAAACTCCACACAGAAAGGCCTAGGCGACCCAGGGATCGAACCCAGAACCTTCTTGCTGTGAGGCATGAGTGCTAGCCACTCAGCCACTGTGCTGCCACGTGTCCATCTCCATGGACAAAAGCAGATGTAGCATCCACTAAAAAGGTTATACAGTCAGAGCACTTATAAATGCAGGGAGGTAAGAAGCCCATTCTGCTTTCTGATTGGATGGTTGTTATGAGAACCATGAAAATGTAAGCATAAACAACTTTGACAATCCAGGTGATATCAGTAAAATCCAATTTAAAGAAGACATATTGTACTTGTATCTGCTATATGTGTATAATGTATGATACCTATGTATGATAGATCATTATGTTATCATTTGCACATTTTAAATCTCAGTATTGATTTAAAAAAACTTTATAAAAGAAACACATCACTTGACTTCCGTGTTAGAAAACTGTAGTGCCCAGTGGGAGCTGATGCCTCCATAAACATCGTCACAACAAAGAGCAGTGAAGTTGTCTGCACCTCGTATGGATAGCTGCACATCACACTAGCAAGTAGTAGATTTATTTTTCATTTGTACCAAAATTACTATACAACTCTGCCAAACCCTACATGTTTCACCGATTAGATAAATTCAATTTGGAGAGCTAAGTACAGAGCAGTGAGCATGTATGGGCCACGGTGAAAACAGGAGTGGAACAGCAAAATGGTGTCTTAAAAATAAGCAATTAAAGACTGGTCACTCATGCACGAATCACAACAAATACAAGTTTGAATGAGTAAATGGTGGGGGGAAACTACATGGATCAAAGCTCTGAAACATAGGTCTGCTTTGAACTTTTTTATTCATATTTGGGAACACAACAGAAATCCTACATATACTACCTATACATATGTGAACATGCAACAAAGTATACAATATTAGCTGATTAAATTCAATAAATAGTCCATGCACCTCATTTTAACAGAGGACTGATGGACATATTTACTCTATACTAATCTACTACTTTATTAAAAACAACATAATTTTCTATCTGTTCATTTCTTCTACTTTTGTGTTTTTGCTGCAGGGAGGAGATGGGAAGATGGGCCTTACGTCTCTCTTTGGCTTTGAGCATTTTCACTTGCCTGTTCACCTGCTCTTCGGCTGAAGGTAGGAAACTGACCCTTAATTTACTTTTGACTTAACTAAAATGGAAAATCAGACCCATCCAGTTTGTCTGGTTGATTGACTGGTTTTAGTTAATTTTACAGTGGGTATTCTTTACTTTTTACTACATTTGAGAGTACTAGTAAAAGTGTGTGTATATGTATATGATTTCATGGTATCCTGACCAAATGTTTTGAGTATAAATCCAGGCTTTTATCAAACAAAAATATACTTTAAAAATCTATAAACATTAAGAAATTTATTCAGTCACCACTGTTCATCACATTTAACCACAGACTGTATATAAATGGACATAGCTAACCCACTAGCTACATTCCAAATAGGAACATGGGGGTGCTCCGGCTCCATCAACTCTAGTTCCAATTGACTTAACATTGAAAAATTGTCACCACTTTTTCTGTAACTCCTGCTGTGAGCCTAATCATTTTGGTCTTAAAACGTTCGTATTAACCTGCTCTACATGATCCTGTTATTTTTATTTCACAATTTTGTCCGTAAATCAATTCCCATTCCTAATAAGGAACTCGACTTCAAATTTGTCCCACAACTGTTAGCGTCTGCGAGCTTCATTTGACTGGAGTTGAATGCAATCGGTGATCTCACTCGCTTAGCCCATTTCTTTATACAGTCTATGCATTTAAAGCTTTAATAATGATCAGAAATCTATGAGAAGTAACAAAAATCGTGTACTTCAGTACTTTTACTTAAGTAGATTTTATATACGATGCTTTTGCATTAAATCAGTAAATCAGGACAGTAAATCTTTTCTTCTTGTATTTGTACTATTACGAAAGCTCCCTCTTCTTCCATCACTGACTCTTGTATATGTTCATTGTTGCAGAGAACTATTGTTTTGCTGCTAGGGCCAAAAGCTGCTCAGAATGTCTACAGGCCGGAGTGGGATGTGCCTACTGCTCTGAGCCGGTGAGAGCCCACACAGCTACACAACATGGGACATTAAAGGTCCTATATTACACAAAATTGACACCTGTGCCCTGTAAGCCATGTTACCTCATCAAACATACATGGAGTTGTGTTTTGTTTCATTCACACATTTGAGTAATCTTTTATTATTAGTCTGTCTACATCTCCAAAGCTCAAAATGCTCTGTTCTACCTTGTGATGTCATGTAGTGGTAGTTTTTAAGTTAAAAGCAACCTTTTATATTTAGTTCAGTAGAGATTGGCAATTCCAGGTCTGAAATTCTCTTCACTACTGTAGAATCACTGTCATAAGTGATTCTAGTGAAGGTGTCTGGAGTATAAAAACACAGTGGAGCAGTTCCTGTATTACCACATGACATGATTATGCCAATTGAGAAAAATAAACTTACTAATAGAGGTGGGACGAGACACAATTTTCACAAAAAGAGACATTGGGTCCATGGATGAGATTGGCTCCATGAGAACGAGACAAGATGAGATTTTGACACAATTTGTAACACATACTGTAAGTAGTGCAATCATTTCACAATGCTGACTTCATTTATTTTATGGAATACTTTAGTGGTCTCATTGTAGTATTTCTTTTTGGAACTACAGCTTCTCAAATTGTAAAACTCACCAGCGCTTTTTTCTCTTTTTTTGTCCAAGCTGAATGTAAAAAAATCTCATGAAATTATTTTTTCTCATTTGCGCACAATCTTGTTGCAGTTTTGTTTAGCGAGATCTTGTGACATGTGATCTTGTTCCAACCCTACTAACAAACTAACAAGATGGAACAGAGTGTGTGTTTGTGTGTTAAACATGTGTGAATGAACAGAACAACACTTTGGCTATATTTTTGATAAAGAGACAACATAGATCAGAAAATAGTGTAGTATGAGTCCTTTATTATTTAGTATACAGTTAAAATATGTATAAATGTGATGTTATGGCTGCTCAAAAGTTATTAGAGATTTAGTGGTTAAGGAAAAAGTGCTATGGAGACAGGAATTGTTATAAATTGATACTAATTGTGACTTAAAGGTTGTATAGAGGATTTTCCAAGGAACGAGAAAGCCAGCGACTGTTTGTCCTTTTTCAAATGTTGCGCATGCGTGAAACCACCCCCCCTCCCCCACAGCTCCCTACGTAGAAACGCCTCCTCCCGCCTCCTCCTTACGCCAGAAAGTACTCATCACTGCACATGACTTGTAAACAACTAACTACAGTGTTGGTTAGGCAAGGCGGAGAAGTGAGGATCGGGGGGAGGGGGTGCGTGGAGATTCCGTGCACGGAGAAGAAGTGGTGAGCAGGGAGAAGAACGGAACGGGGAGCGGAGAGAGGAGAGGGGAGCGGTGGGCGGAGATTCCGTGTGCAGAAAAGAAGTGAGGAGCAGGGAGAAGAGTGAAACGGGGAGCGGGGAGAGGAGCAGGAAGGGGTGCAGAGAAGGGTGCGCAGAGATTCCGTGCGAATGAAGCTACTACTACAACACGCAGCAGCAAGCGGACTCTTTCTTTGCATTGAAAATTAAGTTTTCAGACATTGGATATTGCATTCGTGTCCTGAAAAACGTTTGTCTAGCTCTTGGAAATAAAAAAAAAGTACGTTTTCATAATAAGCAGAAGTGACCAGAAGTAATTTGGTGACCAATGCGTCAGTCTTTAGACCCTTCGTCTGCTTCAGTCGCGCCATCGCTGGAATGAATCTCCAAGAATCACCTTAGTTTGGCTTCGCTGCTTTTCCCCTTGTCTTCTTCTTTCAGCGACCTCAAAAACGGACTTTCTTTTGCGGCGAACTGCTCGTAGATTCTTGTCGCCATTGCAACAAACATGGTGCTAACTGCGAGGAAGATATAGGTCAAAAAAGCCGCTAAGAACTGTTGCGTTGGTGGAGTAAACAGCGTCTGTGCGTCTGTGGACTGCGTGACAGGCGTACGTAAACCACGTAATGGCAGCGCGCAGGCAAGTCAGTTACGCTAGAAACGTAGGGAGTTTGATTGACGGCCTATCAGCTAACAGATAACGAGGCAGTGTCGTTATCTATTGGAAAATGTTTAGCCCCACCACGTCCAGAGTTGATTAATTTTTATTGTCTTTTTTTTGGTCATCATAATTACAAGGCTACTGCATCTCTATAATGCTAGCATTGACAATTTGAAACAAAAAATAAATCCTCCATACAACCTTTAAACTAGCAAATTTTCAGTTTCAATGCAGAAAAAGTTCTCACTCCACCTTATGATGTCATATAGTAATACAGGAAGTGCTCCACTGTGTATTTAAACTCCTTACACTGTCATTATTCACCTCTACTGAACTAAACGTAAAAATTAGCTGTTAAATAGAAGATAACTCTACAATGAAAACAAAACACAACTCCAGGTATGTTTTTGAAGAGGTAACAATATTATGACATGGCAAGTTCACAAAAATCTATTTTGTGTAATATAGGACCTTTAAGTGTTTTAGTGAAAATTTTGTGGGGAAAAATATAGAAGAAATCTTAAAAGCAGAATGAATATGGGAAAATAGATGTAAAAAAGAAAATACAATGTTATGTGTGCCAGATGCATCATTATGCTGCTTGTGTTTGTTGTGTCCAGAATTTTAATGGGCCACGCTGTGACCTGTACCAAAACATCGTGGCCCATGGCTGCCGTGCTGCGGCTATCCTCAGGGCAGAGAGCTCCATGTCCATAGACCTGGTACGTCCTCTTCTTTTACTCCCATTAAGTACACTATATTAGGTATTGTCATGGTAACACATTTTGAAGTACAGTATATTGCTGAAGAAAATATAGACAAGAAACTATAATACTGAAACTAATTTATGTCTGACATAGTAAAGTCAGGATTATCCCCCAAGCATGCTACTAAATGTGCAGAATATAAACACATAACAGATTGAAAGAGTTTATTAGTAAGTTTGCATCTATAATGAGTGAAATGAAAAAGAACCAAATGTTCTCCACTTGTACAAAGAAAACATACCCATGATTAGAACTGTAATGGTTAATTAACTACCAGTAATCATGACTGAATGAACTTGAATGAACATTAAGTCAGACCAGGCACTGCTAGTCTGTCAAACAGGGGAGGCTCTTTACTTTTTAATTTTTAACATATTCTATTAATCAAAACATTGTAAACTGTAAAATTGTAATCTAACTCAACTATCTGAAAGTAGAATGGTATTTTTTTTACGATGTCATTTGTTTAACTGCACAATAACCCTGATCTGCAAGGCAGAAAGTCAGGAGTAAAACTGTTCCATAAGAATGATTTTTCAGTTTTTCAAAATCTTGATTATTAAAAACACAAATTAATCCAATTAATTGGATTAATTTCCCAACCCTATGTAGTCATATTTTGAAAATTGTTATACTGACTTTACGGACTCTAATACACATACAGAAATATCTTTTTTGTCTTAATGACAAAGGCAATGGCATTATTCCATTAAAATGAAGATAAGACGAAACACGAGATTGGGTTCATGAGAATGAGACAAGATTTTAACGAGATTCGTAATAAATACATTTTATGATTCATGCCATAGCCTCACCATTTATGATTTATGTTATTTAATATTTTTCCTGTCATTTTAGTTCTGGTTTTGGGAATTACAGCTTCTCATGAAATGTAACTTGCCAACACCCTTTTTTGTCCATTGCAAATGTAAAAACATGGGGCAAAAATGTCATGAGATAATTTTTCTCATGTGTTCACAATCTTGTGGCAAATTTGTCTTGCGAGATCCTTTTGTCAATAATTAGTTTGATTTATAAATATTCTCTATATAGAAGCCTTCAGTCCCCATAGTTTGAAAATAAATAAATAAATAAATTACTAAACCTCTGCCTCAAGTGGAGGAGTTCAAGTATCTCGGGGTCTTGTTCACAAGTGAGGGGAGGAAAGAATGTGAGATTGATAGGCGGATCAGTGCAGCGTCTGCAGTGATGCGGTCGCTGTATCGGACCGTTGTGGTGAAAAGGGATCTGAGTCGAAAGGCGAAGCTCTCGATTTACCGGTCAGTCTTGGTTCCTACCCTCACCTATGATCTTGAGCTCTGTGTAATGACCGAAAGGACGAGATCACGGATACAAGCGCTCGAAATGAGTTTCCTCCGCAGGGTGTCTGGGCGCTCCCTTAGAGATAGGATGAGGAGCTCAGTCACACGGGAGGAGCTCGGAGTAGAGCCGCTGCTCCTCCACGTCGAGAGGAGCCAGTTGAGGTGGCTCGGGCATCTGTTCCGGATGCCTCCTGGGCGCCTCCCTCGGGAGGTGTTCCGGGCATGTCCCACTGGGAGGAGGCCCCGGGGAAGACCCAGGACACGCTGGAGGGACTATGTCTCTTGGCTGGCCTGGGAATGCCTCGGGATCCCCCCGGAGGAGCTGGAGGAAGTGTCTGGGGTGAAGGAAGTCTGGGAGTCCCTGCTTAGGCTGCTGCCCCTGCAACCCGGCCCCGGATAAGCGGAAGAAAATGGATGGATGGAAATTACTAAACCCCCCAAAACCCCTAAAGATGCTTGTTCCAGCTTCCATATACTATTTATGGTGAGAGGCCTACAGTATCATTTAGTTACAATAGTTGTTTTTTGTGTCGTGTTCCAGAAACAGAAAATCGACATGAGCTTGGCTAAGTCCCAGGTGACCCCTCAGCAGGTCACCATGAGCTTCCTGCCTGGGGAGGAGAGGTATCTGGACATAGAAGTCTTCTCTCCTCAAAAGGGCCCTCTGGATCTCTACATTCTCATGGACTTCTCCAACTCCATGGCCGACGATTTGGACAACCTGAAGAAGATGGGCACGGAGCTGGGTGAGGAGCGCAGACTGTGGATACAATCAGTGGTGGAGAGAGGACAGAAAATGTGTACTCAAGAGAAAGTACACTTACTTGGCTAGTAATGTACTCAATTACGAGCAGGGCTGGGCAACAGGATCCCTCACGATTCAATACGATGCATGATTTACGATACAATATTATCATGATATATTGATAAATGTGATAACCGATATATTGCACATGATATATTGCTGTTTTTTTAAGAACAAAGTACATTTTAGCAACAGCTTTGCTAAAGCACTACTTGTGCAGTTAATATGAAATACATCTATTTTAATCATCAAAACAGTGAATATGTATACAATATGCATATGTATTACGTAAACTGTTTCCCTCCATTAATTAAGCAACAAATTGTAAAAAAGATAACAAAAAATACTCTTGCCGATATATCAATACATCAGCTCCCAATAGGAAATTTTACTCATGCATGAAAAGTATTGCACAATTTTAGAAGCATTTTAGATCACACTTTTATATTTAACTAGAGCCTTCAAAAAGTGTAAAAATAAATGTTGCATATTCTCTGAGATCATTTTTTTTTTTTACAAATTCAGAGCTGTAGCCAGTACAGTATAATAAACTCTTGACTTATTACATATACACTACATTAAAGCTGTAGGCTGATAAAATAGAAATACGACCCATGTATCAAAATAAGAATTGAATTGTTCCACCCCCATAAGATTAAGACAACTGGGCCTTGTACAGTAGTCTCTTCTCAGTAACTTCTATGATTTAAAATGTGACTGATTACAATTACATGTCTAGTAATTTTACTCAATACAAGTACAAGTTCAGGTTTAAAAAATCAGCTCAAAAAACTACAATCCCTTACTCATTTACAGTAATATGAGTATTTGTAAGTAGCTGCTCTCCAGGTCTGGGTAGCATGGTTGTCCAGTCTGTGAGAAGCTTCATGTCTTGTATCTGTTTACAGCATCATTGGTGGGGAAGCTTTCAGATGACTACACCATTGGCTTTGGGAAGTTTGTGGATAAAGTAATCGAACCTCAAACAGACATGAGGCCCTCCAAGTAAGAGGCATTTTTAAATACAAGTTTTAAGGAGTTTTAGCACAATGTTTCTCAGTCAGTATTCATTTTAAGTGCACATATAAAGTGTTTTTGATTTATGTTATATTGTTGTCTCCTCATCACAAACAGACCTGGAGTTGTGTTTTGTTTCATTCACTCATGTTTAAAACACAAATCCTGCATTTAGGCTGAGTTCTTCTCTCAAAAGAAAAACACCTTGTGATGTCATGTGGCAATACAGGAAGTGTTCCTCTGTGTTTTTAAACCATAATCCATACATCTTCACTACAGTCATTTGGATAATTTCAGACCTGGAATTGCCAATCTCTACTGAACTAAATGACTAATAATAAAGGGTTACTCAAATGTGAATGAAACAAAACAGGTATGTTTTTGAGGGGTAACAACATTATATCATGGCTTAAAGCTCATAAAGGTCAAGTTTAAGTAATATATGACCTTTAGATTAATGAATTTATTTGTCCCGGAGTTAGGGTGTATTTGGAGTGTGAGACAAACCTTAGGAGGTTTAAGTATTATGCTGTTATGAACCTTCTCTAGTGATAAAATAGTCCTCTTGTGTTTTTAAAGACCAGTCAGTTTTACCATTTGTAGCCAGCCAACTTTAGTTATAGTACAAACAAGTAGCATGATTAAATAAACTCATTGCACCGAGTGTCTTTATCCCTCAAAGTGAACTTTGTTATCCATGTTATACACGCATACCTATATTTAAAGATGCACTGCGCAACTTTTCTCTTGAGTGTCTGCCATGGAGATGATATTGCTTTGCCTGGAATGTTCCATGGATGTGTTTAAACATATCCATCTTGCATTTATTCATTACTGATGTGTCTGTTGTTCAAAAATAGAATAATTCCTTCTGTGAATAGGGGCGACTCTCCACAGATCTGAACTGTAATGTAGGGTTGTGCTGTAACCTGCTCGTCTCCTCATAATAGATGGGTTTGATCTATACTGTGGAACATTCTAGACAAAGCAATAGCATTTTCATCTAGACAAGCAGGCGACGGACCCTCCACTAGAAATGTTACACAGTGCACTTTTAAGTTTACAATGTTAAATACTAATTTTGAGGTGTCTTAAAGCAGCATATTCTGTACAAGTGATATTATGCAAAATAACAGGCAGGAGTAGTACCACTAATAGTAGTTATAGTTGTTGTTGTATTTATTATGTGACTAACTTTTTTCTTTTTGATTCTCACAGACTTAAACAACCGTGGCCCAACAGTGATCCTCCCTTCTCCTTTAAAAACGTGATCAGATTGACCAATGACCTGGACTTCTATAACAGTGAGCTGGAGAAGGAGAGGATATCAGGGAACCTTGATGCTCCAGAGGGGGGGTTTGATGCTATTTTACAGGCTACGGTCTGTACGGTGAGTGCACATGTCTAAGGCAAAGGAAACAGAGGCATAACCAGTAAAATGGAGTGAAATTTCATTGTATTTAATTACTAGGGGTGGGACAAGACACTGTTTCTACAAGGGTGACTGGGTGCATGGAAATGAGACAAGACAAGATTTTGACGTGATTAGTAATAAAATAATCAGTTCAGAATTTTGGCTTCACCATTTTTATTTTATTATTCATATTTAAAGGTCCAGTTATGCAAATTTGACTCTTGTGAGCTTTGCTTTAATTTTATAATGCTCTTGCATCCTTAAAACATACCTGGAGTTGTGTTTTGTTTCATTCACACACTGAGTAACACTCTGAGCAACCCTGCGTTCTTTGTCAATCTACATCTCCAAAGCACAGAATGCTCAGTTTCACCTTGTGATGTCATAAAGCAGTAGTTTTCAAGTTAACAGCTTTTTATTTTTTATTTGCCAGTTGTAATTATTTAAAAAATTGTAAACTCTTTCTTAACACTGGATTTTTATGTGTCAAATGGTTGTAACTGATACACAATTATAGTCTATAAGGTATAAAGTAGTAGTAGTAGTAAACTGAAAAGATCTTAACATTGAATTCCAGAAGAAATAAAATTTTTAAAAGTCAGTTCAAAGATTATTTTTGGAATGCAACCCATACTATTTTCTCCACTTTGCCCATGCTATAATGAACTTTGCTGTGCTCCCAGGATAAGATCGGATGGCGCCCACACAGCACCCACCTCCTGGTTTTCTCCACTGAGTCGGCGTTCCACTACGAGACAGATGGGATCAACGTTCTGTCAGGAATCCTCAAACGCAACGATGAGGCATGCCACCTGGATGCCAGCGGGAAGTACACTGAGGATATCAATCAGGACTACCCCTCTGTGCCCACGCTCGTACGGGTACTGGGAGAATACAACATCATCCCCATCTTTGCAGTCACCAACCACTCCTACACTTACTACCAGGTCAGAGACCATATTTGTTTGCTTTTTTAATCAGTGTAGAAGTGTATGTAGGAACTGTATGTAGCCTGGGCCTCTAGTTTTAAGAAAGGTATCTCAATCACATCTGAACCTGGGTTGCAAGTGTATGAACCTGTAGATAGAGGACACACTAGTTTTTCTCATTCTCAGCATATGGACAAACCATGCCTCATGTGAAAGCTTAGAACCTCCAGAATTCACTCACTGAGCTTCAGAGGCTGCACTAGCACTGACTCATGAGAGACTCCAACTGGATTTCAGCATTGAAACTGGCAACCCAAATGAGAAACTCGCGTGAGGCTCATTCTGCCCACTGACTGGAATCATCTTGGGAAACAAAACACCTTTTAAATCATAAATAAATGGGACATCATGTCCACTGGTTTTGTAATTAAGAACAAGAGACATGCATTAAAATAGTTGTCAGTAAAATCTATATTAAATGTGAACATGTTTACCTCGTATCTGAAGACATAAATCATGTTTGTGGAATGCCAAACTGTGGAACATTTCAAGGAAACCAATCATTCTTTAACCTGGTAACTACACGTTTGCTTTTGAGTGTAATTTCTTATTGATTATAATTGTTTAATAGGCCCTTTCTCTGTCTCTGTTCTTATGTTCATTCAGAAATTGAAAGAATATTTCCCGATAGCGGAAGTGGGGCTGTTGCAGGAGGACTCTGGTAACATCCTGGAGGTCATGGCCACTGCTTTTGAGGTGAACAGTCTAGTTTTTGTTGTGTATGACAAAACACATGAGAGATGGAGCGCTGTCATTCATGTCAGAATTCTCTCTTTACCATTTCAGAGCATCCGAAGTAAAATGAGCATTCGTGCAGAGAAGCCCAAAGCCTTCGAGGCACAGTTCTTGAAGACCAGTGGTCAGATCGCAGAGTATGGGGCCTTTGATTTCAAACCAGGGGCTATTGTAAGAAAACCATTTTATTTATTTTTTTGTTGAATAGTGATTATAGAAAAAGATATAAAACTAGATCAGTAATTAATAATACACTATAGACTCCATGATATTCAAAAGGGATAGGAGAAAGTTTTAAACCTATTATATCCTACCTCTCTATTTACATAGCAGTCAAAACACACATTTCCTCAATGTTAAAAAAAAACCTGTATATATTAATGTAATGATAGTCAAATGATATTTTCCTTTATATGAATTTACAATGATTCACGGTCATGAAATCATCCAAAATGCAGGAAGTGAAATAATAAACTTCACCAGAATTTGTGGCAAAAGAAGAAATTAAATTTGTTCAGCTAACTAACAGAAACTGTAAACAAGTAGGATGTTATTTTCGAGTAGTTTCAGTGTAGTTAGCTCCTCCCTTCAGACAAATATAAAGCAGTGTCTACCAGCGTCTGACCAGAACTGAAGAAGCAGCTTGGATGAGCTGCAAAATGTATTCGACCAAAAATAAACTTTTGTCCAGTTGACAAATTGATTTTCTTCTTCTGCCATGGATTCTGCCTGGCTGCCTGAGGGATTTTACACTTCACCAGGATTTATACTCAATCTGGCATGTGATGTTTTATATTCAAGAGGTTTTTTTTTTACCAATAGTCATTCCACTCTTGTGACATTTTATTTTAATTTTATTATTCTTACATATATATATTTGTTTTATTGTATTTGATGTATATATTTATACCTTTGTGCATATTCCTGATTGAGCTGATATTTTGGTGACAGGGCAAGTTCATGATGCGTCTGAAAGCCCAGCAGATGTTGGACGGGGAGCCGGTGTGCAAGGCCTCCACAGACGAGACAGAGGGAAACGTCAGAGTCAAACCCACAACCTTCAACGACGCAGTGAACGTCCAGGCCAACGTGCTGTGCCCCACATGTGACTGTGAGAAGGTGCTCACAACATTAAACAATACAAAAATAGGGCTTTGTATATATAACCTATAATAATTATTGATAAACAGAATAGAAACCAAATGTGTCCTTATAATGTGTGCATTCTTGGTTGGTGTTACAGGCATACACTTATAAAACAAATCCAAGTTAAAGCTCCTGTTCCCGATATTTCCCATTTATTTGAGCAGAATGTGTCTTGCCTCATTACAGATATATTGTATAAGCAGCTCTTGAGGTGAAAATACATTTTGTCTGCCAGTTAATCAGGAAGTGTGCTTTGTGTTTACTCCACTCTGGTCTCTGAGAGTTGTGAAAAGCTCTTATAAACTTATCACAGTGACTTATTGCGATGCTCAGAATGCATAAGATAAGTAAGAAATAACTTTGGACCACTGCCACAAACTGTTTTAAATGACCTAGTTTTGTTTTTCATGTTTTTAAGACAGTAAAATATAACTAGTTCATTTTGCAGGTTTGCAGTGGTTATTCCTCACTTTCTTAATACATTCCTAGCAGCCTAATTATTCATCACAATGATTTTATAAGCCATTTTCACAACTTTAAGACATCAGAGAGGACAATAAATGCTTAAGAATTAAATACAGACAGCAGGCACTGGTCTCTTGTACTATATATTTGTACTGAGGCAAGACAAATTTGACTTAATAATATGAAAAGCCCCTTTAAAAATACATACTTTGTAGATATTGAATATTTATCAATTTTCTTTTCCTTTTCAAATATTAAAAATGTATTTACAGAGTCCTCTTGTTGGCTCACCCATGTGCCATGGAAACGGAGACCTAGTGTGTGGCAAGTGTCAGTGCTACCCCGGCTGGTAAGACTTGTTCAAGTTCTCTGTACATGTCTGTTGATACTTTGCAGTGACATCATGCTGGGGGTGTTCTACATGTAATTATATGATGGTTTCTGTACTTACCATGCACACATTAGCAAACAAAACCAATACAAGTGTTCATGGTCATGTTTAGGCTTTTGATTTTTGAGAGTGACTAACTCTTGACTGTAATTTTATGCGTGAGCACAGATCATTTGTAGTTCTAACTAAACCTCTTTCTAGTGAGTTTGTGTTCAAATAAAGGCCAGATTAAAGTCTAACAAGCCTCAAATAGAGCAGTGCCTACAGTTAGCCTCACACCTCATCAGGGAATGTTGATGACGTCTGCTGCAAAGTATCAGTTTTGTGTATTAGGGCTGGGAATCACAGGGTCCTTCACAATTCAATATGATACATGATGCATGGATCACGGTATGATATTAGCACAATATGGTGGTACATGTTTTAACTGTAACACATGATACTCCATAATATATTACTGTTTTTTAAGATCCAAATACAGTGTAGCAACAATATTTCCTTGCTAAACCACTACTTGTGCAAAGTTAAGTGTTTTGCATAAACAAATTTCTTTCCATTAAATAAGCTACAATATGGTAGTGTGGTCACAGAAAAATTTGATAAAAGATACCAAAGAATACTCTTGGTTATATATTGATAAAGCAGCCCACAATAGCGATACTTAATCACCGAATATAAAATCGATATACTGACATTTCGATATTTTGCTCACCCCTAATGTGTATTGTATTACTCTAATGCTATGTGTACACAGGGTGAGCACACACTGTAACTGCTCGGCCACCACCTCAGCTCTGGACACCAGCCTTTGCATCGAGCCAGGCTTCACTGAACCATGCTCTGGGAGAGGGGACTGTCTGGAGTGTGGCCAGTGTGTGTGCTACAACCCCGACCAGTTTGAGGGGCCCTTCTGCCAGTACGACAAAACACAGTGCCTGCGCTTTGGAGGCTTCTTGTGCAATGGTGAAATACACTTATGTACACCACAAATGTTAAAGTGCATATGACAGGTTTTGGTTTTGGTTTAGTGGGATAGCATCTGTGGTCAGTCTTTATCATAGTTTTACTTCAGTTAAGCTGCAGTTTGTGGGAAATAAAAGTTGAGAAGAAAAGAACAAAAATACAAGACGTAGCAGTGAGTTTTAAAACAGAAACTATCCTAAAATCTATCCAAAATGCAGAGACAATTTACACGCAAGGAATAACATTTTCTGCCAATTTAAACCTTTAAGTTGCACTGGGTAACCTTTGTGGTGGAGAATCCATCAAATACTTTTCGCCATGGAGATGTTATTGCTTTGTCTGGAATGTTTCACAGTATGGTATTAAACATTTCTTTCATCATGGAGACCAAACCAGACCAAGTTACAGATCAGTGGAGAGGCGACCTTGTTCACAGTCACAATGCCTGTTTTTTGAGCTATAAAACCACCTGTAATTGAATACATGTAAGGTACATTCCAGGCAGAGAAATGACATATCCATAGAAACAACCCCCAACCAAAAAGTTACACAGTGCACCCTTAAAGGTCCTATATTACACAAAATTCTCTCTTGTGAGCTGTAAGCTGTGTTAGAATGTCTGTACCTCATCAGAAACATACCTAGAGTTGTGTTTTCTTTCATCCATACATGTTTGAGTTCAAAATGCTCTGTTCCACCTTGTGATGTCATGAAGCTGTGGTTTTCAAGTTAACAGCTCATTTTACCTTTAGTTCAGTAGAGATTGGCTATTCCAGGGTTGAAATTATCCAAATGAGTTTAGTGAAGGAGTATGAAGTTTAAGAACACAGTGGAGCACTTCTTCTATGGTTCAGATTAAGGTATCATCACAGGGAGTGTTTGAGAGAAGAACCCAGCCTAAATCTGCAGGTGCTGAATGTGTAAACATGTGTGAATGAAACAAAACACAACTCAAGGTACGTTTGTGATGAGGAAACCTTATAACTTCATCATTATAAATCAGAAAAAGTGTAATATGGGCCCTTTAATAAAAGAAAGGTGTTGTCATTTATTTGTGATAGTCTAATCAGAACTATTGTGTAATTTAGATTTGGTTGCAATCTGCTGCCAGTGTCTCACTAGGAAGTAAAATTGTAAATTTCCCCAGATTTTTTTAACAATTATTTTTCAAAATGTAATAATGTTAACTATGTTTTAATGAAATGAGTAGTTTAACTTGCCATATGCACTTTAAATCTGATGTGTTCTTCATAAATGTGTGTATGTGTTTCAGACCGTGGTTCTTGCATCATGGGCCGCTGTGTGTGCACTGAGGGCTGGGGAGGGGATGCCTGTCAATGTCCAATGAGCAACTCCACCTGTCTGGACACTAGTGGGGTGAGCAAGCATTGTCCCACATTAACTTGCATGATTTTATGAATTTGGACAGTTTTAAAGGTGCACTATGTAACTTTATGGTTGGGGTTCTATCACCTGCTTGTTGCCCTGGATATGTCACTGCTCTGTCTGGAATGTTCCACGGTATGACATTAAACCACTCTACCTTACATTTATTCAGTTACAAACAGTTTTATTGCTTAAAATACCTAGAAAAACAAGCATTCTGACAGCTTCCACAGATCTGACCTATAACTTGGTCTGGTTTGGTCTCCATTATAGAAAGTTTTAATGCCATACTGTGAAACATTCTAGACAAAGTAATAACATCTCCTTGAAGAAAGCATTGGACAGACCCTTCACCAGAAAAGTTACACAATGCACCTTTAGTTTATTAATGCCATACAGTATGGTGAAACATTACAGACAAAGCAATTACAACTCCATGGAGACAAGCAGGTGGCAGATTCACCACTAGAAATTTTGCACAGTGCACATTTAACGTGTTTTTATTGTGTATACAGTCCTATATATTCTTTATAACCCCTTTATTTAATTACATTTTATTTTATTTTATTTTAGCTCTGTACATTCAACTCGTTCCTACTGTTTTGTCAGGGCCTCTGTAATGGACAAGGCAAATGTGTCTGCGGCCGTTGTGAGTGTACGAACGCTGAGAGTCTCCTAGTGACGTCTACATGTGAGGCCAACTTCCAGGTGAGGGGGAGGACAAAAGAGTCTGTTGTCGCGGGCTCCATAGTCTTAGGGGCCCATAATTGGTCCCCTATTAATTTATATTAGAGGGGGGCCTATGTGAGGTTTCTTGCCCTGGGCCCCCAAATTTTTGTTGACCGGCCCAATTATCCTTATGCACATGCATTGGTTTATTGTTTTCATGTTGTGTTCAGGGTCTGCTCGGCGCTTGTGAGGCCACTAGGACGTGTGTTCAGTGCCAGGCCTGGAAAACTGGGGAGAAGAAAGAGCCAGCGGAGTGTGACAAGTGCGCCTTCAAAATAGTCAAAGTGGATGAACTCAAGAAACGTAAAGAAATATTATATTCTCTATGATTACCATGTGTGATCAAGCTCTGTGTCTGTTATGCAAAAACGTTTTTCAAGTTTTCTACCATGTTATACTATTTTTCACTCATCAAAAATATGCCTGGAGAATTTGTATATGCCATCATGCATGTTTGAATCTAGAAATCTCTTCTGGGCACTATCCAAACCTTCCTTACAGTTAGCAGTATGCAGTTAGCAGTTAGCCTGTACAAGACTAAGCCAACAAGCCCACGCCAGGCACACTCCTGCACAGGCATTTTTCAAACCTGATGCGACGTGCACTAGTTTCATTAGTGGGATACACTTACATACATGATTGTGCTGTAATAGCGCCCTGGAGGGGAAGTGAGGGGAGGGGGGAGCATCATAAATTGAAATGTATTAAATACCTTGTTCTCTGTGAATGTAGCATTTTCAAAACAACAAAAGGTAACATGATGATCTAAAATAATATCCCGTAGAAGTGTAATACCTCCTCTTTAAAGCTATGGTTAATCTGAGGAATTTGATCTGCATGAATACATTAGGGCTTATGTTATGCAAATTTGACTCTTGTGAGCTTCAAGATCACAAGACTTGCGTTTTGTTTCATTCACACATGTTTGAGAAACCCTTTATTATTAGTCTGTCTACATCTGTTCAAAATGCTCTGTTACATCCTGTGATGTCATGAAACAATAGTTTTCAAGTTAACAGCTACCTCTTTAGAGAGATTAGTAGAGATTGTCAAGTTCAGGCCTGAAATGATCCAAATGATTCTAGTCAAAGTGTATGGAGCACATCCTAAATTACCACATGACATCACAAGGTGGAGTGTTTTCAGTTTGAGAGAAGAATTCAGCCTAAATATGCAGGTTTTGTTTGTTAAACATGTGTGAATGAAACAAAACACCTTTTTCACACTTTTTTTCAGAAAATAGTGTAATAAAGGCCCTTTAACAATGCACTTACTCATGTCCTCCTCTTTGCGCACTTGTAGCTGAAACAGTTCTAGACTCGTGCAGTTTCCGTGATGAAGAAGATGACTGTACTTACTACTACACTGTGGACAACTCTAAGACTGCTGTGGGAGGTTTGGAGGTGCAAGTGCTTGAGAAGAAGGGTAAGCTTTGTTGTTTGGGTTTATGAAGAGTTACAGTTCTAAGCTGGATGTGTCCTATAAAGAATGGTGTTCCCTCAGACTGCCCCCCGGCCAGTCTCCTGTGGCTGCTGCCTCTGCTGCTGTTCCTGCTGCTGCTCCTGGCCCTGCTCCTGCTGTGCTGCTGGAAGTACTGCGGCTGGTGCAAGACTTGCTGCGCGGTACTATACATTCTATACTAGTGCACAACATGAGCTCTCACTGGCCAGAGGGTCTAGTGTACTAAAAGTAACAAGATTCATAACATAACTAAATGTAGCTGAGTGGTTAAGTTATTGATGTTGCCATTTTTGTGAACAGAATTTGGCATTTAGTTAATATGATAAATTATACAGAGCACTGGCAAATAGGGATGGGAATTACAGGGTCCCACATGTTGTGATGTTCTATACATATGGCGCTAAATGTGATAATCATTATATTATTACACACGATTTTTGCTTTTTTTGTAACAAAATTCAGTTTAGCAAATATGTCAGATGTATTGCATTTCCAAAAAAATACTCAAAAATATTTTGGTACAGCTATCTACGACATTGATACTGTATCACCATATTTAGTATTCTGATTTATAACTATGGCCCTGCCTCCAGTGACAAATACAGAGAGAAAGAGAAAGAACCCACCTTGAAATGTCTAATTGAGTTGAGTGTGTTAAGACCCAAAATGCATTTGCCTTTGAAAGACTTTTGTCATCTGTGTGTGCATAACTGTTCTCATGATTTGAGCTGTTAAAAAATAATATATTTTCTTTTATTTCTTGACAGGGTTGCCTTGCTTTACTCCCATGCTGTAGAAAAGGTAACACTCTCTTCAGATACAGTTATATTTGTATTATTTATTTATATATGCAATATTATACAGTTTTATTTGGCTACTGACTTACAAGTTGTGTGAAGATGATGCCCATATTCCAAATAATATAATGTGGTTTAAAGACTAGTCCTTCATTTGTCCATTGTATCTTCCCATTGTGTAGGCCGCATGGTTGGTTTCAAAGACGACCATCTCTCATTCCTCCAGTCCCAGGTGGCTGTGCCAAACCACCTGGACACTCCCATGGTGCGTACCGGCCCACCCAAAGGCACTGATGTGGTGCGCTGGAAAGTCACTGACAATGTGCACCGTGGGCCCAGCCACCCACTGACCCAGGTCAAGCCCAACCCCAGAGAGAACAGTGAGTCACACAGCTGTACCTTACTGGGAAAAGTTAGTTTTTGTCCGCACAATAGTAATGTTGCCGGACAAGCCAGGAGCGCGAGAACCTACAGTCCTAACTTGACACGATCCAGCCATGCTGCTAATTTGTTGTCTTAACTTTAAAAATACACAATATATAACTTCTTATATCTGAGATAAATGAGTTTTGTGCTCGATTGTTGATTCTGTAAAATACTGAGAAACAACTCAGACGAGTTGTTTCTCAGTATTTTATGTTGTTTTTTACCTGTAAACCACCATGTCTGTTTTTGACACAAACAGAACATGTGCCTCTCTGATTGGTTAGACAGGATATGGCTCCAGATCCACTCGTTTTTGTAAAGTTTTGTCAAAGAATGTGGTTATGGCTGGACAGGTAAATATTAATGTGGTTGAGGACTTTTGTTTTCATGAGGACTGATATAATAATTTGAAATGTTTTAACTAAATACTATCAACTAGGGCTGCAAAATTAATCATGATCGAATCGAAATAGAAATTTGAATGGATGTAATTCACAGACCTCAAAGGCCACAATTTTTTAATAACCATAATTTCCTTCACAAACATCAAAATCTCCTGTTTTATTCTGCACAAGGAAAAACGCTAACCTTGTAGTTTAGATCTGCACATTTATGTTCAGAAATGTGATTCTTGTATTATATTTCAGTCTTTTTGTGAATTCTTCCCGATGTGTTTAAAGCGTGAACTTTGAACAGAATCCTATTATTACAACATAAATCGGAAATTTTATCAGAGTGTGAGTAAACCTCAATCATTCCAATCCTAATCCCAGTCCCAATCCAAAACAGCATCGCCTGCTCTGACTGGCCAGAGCTCAGAGAATATGCAGGTTGTTGTTAAAACGTTTGATTTAGATAAAATACTAAGATAGAGCTAAAATACTGCTTAAAATATGTTTTAAAAGTAACCGTATTTTAGCTTGAGGGCAAATTTGCAGTATTCTTTCCAAAACTAAAAACAGGATATTTTTAACAAGAGATCTAGACAATAAATAATAAAGATTTAGACATGGCTTATCTTAACTAACTAGGCTTAACTCAAAGTTGTCATACTAAACTGTCCATAATGTTCTTTATTTTTATAGTCCCATTCCCCATCTCCCTGCGGCTCAACAGGCAGTTTGCAGAAAACCTCACCTATCCTGATTCCAAAGACGGAGAGCAGCTACGCAAAGAAGTCAACGACAATGTAAGAGCCACAGTGTGAAACTTAACTCTGAACAGCGTAGTAATGTAAAACTTCCAATGATGTCACTGTCTTTGTTTTGATCCAGTTAAATGAGGTTTACAAGCAAATCCCTGGAGTCCAGAAAGTACAGAAGACCACCTTCAGGTCAGAACCACTGGATTAACAATACAACTGTTCTTTCAAATACAGTAGTCTTTGATTCTTAAAAAGTGGTGTATCTTATTTTGTTTTTACAGAAAACAAAAAAATGCAGGGAAAAGGTAATACAAATTTCATTCTATCCAATTTTAGTATTTATGTGTTTTCAGTAACCAGGCAAGAATAAATCACATCACTGACTTCCTAAAAATGTTCACCAAAAATGTTTATTTACATTGCTTTTTCACATCTTAATGCTTTCGTTTCTCATACTAGACAAGAGAACGTCATCATGGACACGGTGCTGACAGCTCCTCGCAGCAGTTACCCCGACATCGTCAAACTGACCGAGAAGAATGTGCAGTCTGGAAACTTCCACAACCTGCGAGTGGTGCCAGGCTATTACACTGTTGCCACAGACAGAGGTGTGTGCTGCTCCTCTGCTTCTCTACAGAGAGTTTTCATGTTGCCTTTAGTTGTTTTTCTAACCTTAACCAATCAATTTAAATAGCATGGCTTAGTTAACAACCCTTAAAACTTTATCAAACTTTTAAATAAATGTTATTTATAATAATTATTTTAATAATTCTGTTCAGAGACAGTCAAATGGGGAGTAGAGGGCAGTTTTGTTATATTTACAACAATTTCCTCTAGGGCTGGGTGATATGAAAAAAAAGAAACAAAAGAAACAATTTTTTTCACCATCCTATTGAAAACACAGACACATGGCCCTGACTCAGAGGTAAACAAGAGAGCCATGACTCCTCTTCAGAATCACATGCTCTCTTACTGCCACAGGATTGGCTGTACACCTGACTATTAAAACATGCTTGCCTTATCATTGAGATTAACCAAAATTGAGATTGTAATCTATACATTTTCAGATTTTTGGTACAGCCTGATTGATCAGTGCTTTCTGGAATAGGAGGGGATCGTTAAATTAGGGAAAGATATTTGAACCAATTATTTGAATCTCTGTTAGGATAAATAAACAAAAGAGAAACATAACTCCTAACATGTTTTTGATTAGTATATTTGAAATAACATGTCACACCACCTCCTTTAATATGTCCCACTGCTCCACAGAGGCGACCGGTGCGGTGGAGTTCCAGGAAGGGGTGGAGTCTCTGGATGTGCACGTGCCTCTGTTTGTGAAGGACCAGGATGATGACGAGAAGAAGCTGCAGGTGGAGGCTCTCGACGTCCCACTGGGCATCGCTGAGATCGGAAAGAAATTTGTCAACATCACCATAACCAAGGACCACGGTACATATAAGAGGAGAGGGTTTAGTTTAGATAGACTGTATGTAGACTATATGGATAGTAGTATTAAAAGGCCACTTTCATTTCTTCTAGTAAAATTTGCAGTATTTTGTAAAAGTAGCAGTGATAAAAAAGAGACGGAGTAATATTGCCTATGCATTTTAAAAGGCATTTTGTTGGATGAGAACCATGAGGAAGCAGCTGCCCTGGACTAATAATTTGATCTAATTAGAAATGTTGCTAGATGAGAAGTGTGTGGAAACAACAACTTCCAGAATCCCAGACAGTTTCTCTGTCATGGTTCAATATCACAGCGTGAAAAGGGGCTAAGTGGGCAGGGCATTCTGAAACCTGTCAAACATAATTCAAAAGTTTGTACAGGTCCTTTAAATAAACGAGAATTGTCTGAAATGATTTATTCTGCATTTATTTACTTTTCAAAATTTTAATGCTTTGTTTTCCTTGTGTGTGGTGCAGCGCCCTGTGTGTTCACCTTCCTCCAGGACAACTACACATACAGCAGGCAGGATGGAGTGGCCAACATCCCCATCGCCAGGGAGATCAGGGAGGACGGACGCGCTCAAGTCTCCTACCGCACCATCGATCACACCGCAAAGGACAAGAAGGTGGGCGGTCTAATAAAAAGTGCCACTCACAAAACAAAGACTCTGCAAAATATAAAAATAAAGTAGCCCTTAAAATGTGACTTACTAACCATTTCACTGACTTTTTCTTTAAGGAGAGGATGGAAAAAAAATTTTTTTAGCTTTCTGCCAAGTTATAATATGTTTCGGCAAATATAGCTTTTTCATAACATATCTAAATATGTTATGTATAAGCATTAATGCCCTAAAGAAGTGTAATTTTTTTAAGGTCTTCTATAAAGAAAACATAAGAAAGATATGGCTATTTGGCTGTCTTATAGGGGACATATCGCACACAACTGACTTTATGGCGTTTTTAACTGGTGGTGTCCTCAGACATTTTTTTGGAAGGGCTAACGGTGGTTCTTACAGACTATGGCCTTCCATGTTTGCTTCACTTCTCTCTCTCTCTCTCTCTCTCTCTCTCTCTCTCTCTCTCTCTCTCTCTCTCTCTCTCTCTCTCTCTCTCTCTCTCCCTCTCTCTCTCTCTCTCTCTGAGCACTGACACATCTCAATTTAAAATTCTACTAGATAAAATAAACAGGAATTCTCCTGTGCAGTCTTTATGGTCTATAAAACTTCTCCAAACAAACTGGTTTTACTACAACTCTGTCCCTACTATCCATGCCAATAATCATGGCTTTGTTGTTGTTTATTCATGGGTCATGCCTATTATGCTTTCAAATAATCAGGTACTAAATTTCCTACCTTTGTGTTGAAGGACTATATAACAGTGGGAGGAGATCTGACCTATGCTCCTGGAGAGACTCAGAAGATTGTACCAGTACGTCTGCTGGAGCTCACAGAGAAAGATGGCCTCCTGGAAGACAAGCAGGTCAAGAAGTTCTACATGGACCTGGTCAACCCTCAGCAGGGTGCCAAGCTAGGACGCTACCCCAGGACCACTGTGACTATCGCCGATTTACCAGGTAAAAGTCTACCCTTCTCAGTACTAGAATGACAACAACTAGAGGCAAAGTGAAGTTTAACATAATGTGATTTCAATAGAGAAATCTGGATTCATCACAGATTATCACAAAGAATATAAATTTCACTTTGTTTCTAGGTGATTAGGATGGACACATTTTTGATGAATCCACAGTAATTTTGTCAAATACTTTACCACAAATTATATTTTTTGTGAAGTGCAATTTCAAAGCTAGATAATATTTATTTTTCATCCTTTGTAATGGAAATGCAAACTAAACTTATTTTTTGTTATAAGAGCAGTGCCTCTAGTTAGCTTCACCCATCTAAAGAAGTATGATGACATCACTTGAATAGTATCATTAAGTGTAATTTAATATTATGTTATTATTCTTTATGTAGAATCCAGTCAGGTGATGTTTAAGAACCCAACCCAGAGCTTTTCCACCTCTGATCCTGTCTACAAAATCCCTGTCATCCGCACTCGTAAACCGGGCACTCCGGCTACGGTCAGGTGGCGCACTAAGAAGGCCCAGCGCTTTGATCTGTCAGGAACACTCAAGTTTGATCCCAAAGAGACTGAGAAGGACATCGTGATCAACCCCAAAAATTACCCAGGTCCAATCAAGCCTGAGAACTTCCAACTGGAGCTGTACGACCCAGGCAACAATGCTATGCTGGGAGAGAGGAGGACCACCACGGTTAATATCACTGATGGAGGTACAGTCACATAGGTTGATGATATATTTATCTTAACCTTTCCCAAGAATCAAAATGGTATTAGAGGGATATTTTGGATGAAAGTGAGTAAGAGTTAGGAAATATCATGTAGGGGATTTTAATCATATTTTTTTGCAATTCCCCAGAAATGGTCTAAAATGGGACAGTGCATTTCTTGGTTGAGGTGCAAGTATAGGCCTTAATTAACTCTCTTTAACATCACAGCATCCAGCTATTCAGTTATTAAATATAAAAAATATTACCTTATTAGGTTAAGGTTCAATTACAACTACAAAATGATTTAACTGAAGTACGTTAAAAGTGTGTACCAGTTTTGGCCTCTTATATAAGGTTATCCGAAGGTTACTGCTTTAGTTTATTTGTATGCCTACTATTGTAAGGTCAAACATGTGCTGAAGACTTACCTGTGCTTCTGTAGCTCCAGAGATTGCCCAGATGCAGCAGATGGGCTTCATAAACCAGATGGCCACATCCCCGGGCGGGCACGTTCTGGCCCCTGGCAACCCAAGAGCCAAAGCCACCGGACCCAGAAGCATCCGCCTCAATTGGGACCCCCCTCCAGGCAACCCCATGGGCTACAAGGTACACACTCATTATTGTTACATATAGATATATACTAACAGAGAAGACATTTTGGTACAGAACAAGAATTATGAAGTGTAATTTTATCTCTCTGTTTTGAAAAACTCTCAAAATTTAAATAATCATATTTCAACAGTATATTAAGATTTAGCTAAAATGTGCCTAAATATCCTGGTTGTGCCATGCCTGTGTGTTCCAGGTGAAGTACTGGATCTACGGAGACCCAGAAAAAGATGCCACAGTGCTGGATGTGAAGACACCTCAGGCTGAGCTCACAAACCTGTACCCGTACTGCGACTATGAGATGAGGGTGTGCGCCTACAACGCCCTGGGAGACGGATATGACACTGACATCGTGTCCTGTCAGACTTTGGAAGATGGTACATGAGCACACAGATCATTACACAAAGATCATTACACACAGACCATTACACACAGATCATTACACAAAGAACATTACACACAGATCATTACACACAAATGTGACAGCAGCAGGGTTAGCGACAGTGCAATCAGAGAGGCATTATTATTATTTTAAGCTTATTACCGTTTTCAGGTGAACATCTCTCATCTCTCAGAATTTGAAGAAGAATAGTAGATTTTCTCATTATAAAAGTATATTTCGTGATGGTTGTATACTGTATAAGACACTGGCAGTGTCCTTTCATTTTAAAATGACATAATAAAGCAGTATGGAAACCATGTATTTGCCTTCAGCTAATACATTTGTAACTATGCCCTGTTCTCCATTAGCGCCCGGTGAACCAGGACGTCTTGCCTTTAACGTGATCAGTCCCACTGTGACTCAACTGAGTTGGGCAGAGCCCGCAGAGACCAATGGCAACATCACAGCCTATGAGGTCATCTACACACCCATCAATGACGACTTAAGTGAGTTCCCCTCCTAAACATGCCAATGTGACGTTTCCCCACACACACTAACAGTGTGCTCCATCCCCAGAGCCTGTGGGTGCAGCCAAGAAAGTCCACATCGACAACCCCAAGAAACGCATGCTGCTCATCGAGAACCTCCAGACCGCTCAGACATACCAGTACAAAGTCAGAGCCAAGAACAAAGTGGGCTGGGGCCCCTTCAGAGATGCCAGCATCAATCTTGCCTCACAGCCTGTCAGGCCTCTGTCCAGTAAGACCCCAGTGATCATGTACACACAGTATACATTATATATATGTGCTTTAAATGTGCTGATGAATGTGTATGTGCCCTCAGTCCCCATCATCCCAGACATCCCCATTGTGGACGCAGAGGCAGGAGAGGAGTATGACAGCTTCCTCATGTACAGCAACGAGGTGCTCAAGTCCCCAGGAGGCTCAAAGACCCCCAGTGTGTCTGGAGAGGGTGGGTGTTTTACATGATATCTCCTCTTAAAAGACATTTTATACAGCCTTAGAGCCCCCTTGTGGTCTGCAGGCCCAGTACATGTGGACAGTCCACTTCACACCCAGCTAGAAACATCTCAGCTTTGCCGTTATTGCATCTTCCAGCTCCTGACACAGTTTTATTTAGGCTCACTTATAAATAGTCTTGTTAAGACCTCAAATATTCCCACAAGGCTGGAATTTTGTCAAGCTGGTGGGCTCGGATTTGGACCTGCGCTCGGTGTCCTGGAAAAGGCACGTGGATGTGATTCCCAGGAGTCGCTTCAGCACAGACACAGAGACCAGCTCTGAGGAGACCCCCCCTCGAACCCGCCCAGGTGAAGACTCACCAGAGAGAGCATGCCCCTTTCTGATGATGCCCACTTGAGCTAACAGCAGTACTGTGGAACCTAAAACATGCACGACAGACTAACCTGCCCACTAGGTTCCCCTGAGTTCCAGCCCCAAGGTCCCTGGGTGGTGTAGGGGTTAACGGATGGGTCAAAGCAGAGCACACATTTCCCTATGGGACTGAAAAGGCCACAGAAACAATTAAAACACAATGTTTCAGATCTCACTGGACCTAACTTTGAGGTCTTCTTTTGCAACATAAACCCTAAATACAACTGTGTTCAAAGATGTTGGGAGGCATTTTCAACATGGTACCTGCTTTGCTTTCATTTAAAGGTTCACTGTGCAATTTGCTGCTTATCTCTATGGGAATGTTACATTGTATGCTATTAAATTTAACTATTACAATTACAGGTGTCTTTATTACTCAAACATGCCTTGAAAAATATGCAGTAGTTACTTTGAGCGGGGATGCCTTGCCACAGATTTGACCTATAACTGCTTGTCTTAATGGAGAATTTCAGTGCCATATTGTGGAACACTAGTACACTAACTTTGCTGTGTTAGTGGCGGATGCTGTCCCAGAAAAGTTTCATAGTGTGCCTTTAACAATTATTGCTCTTAATTACATGCTTAAAAACATATCTGATAAATAAATCACAAGGACAAGTTTTAGGTCATTAAAAAATGTTGTAATATTTTGACAGATTTCCCCATGAATGGAAAATGGGATCAGAACTTCCTTTTCCCCGGAGGCACACCGTCGCGTAACATGTCGTCTTCCTCCTCCCCTGTCTCTACCATGAACTCCAGCTACAGGACTGGCGGGGGCTCCTACACCTCTGAGACCACCACCACATACCTAAGTCCTGGTACGGTGTCCATATTATAGACCATTCACAATGCTACGTCATCACAATGTTCTCAACCTTGTATACTTTCTGTCACATGCACTTTTTTAACCCTTGTAATGATGGGTTTTTGCAAGGGAACTGTAAACATGTCCATTGTTTTTAGTGAGTTAATGCGCCTTGCACCAGAAGTGACATCAGACATTAACAACCCTAAACCTTTAAGTCTTTAGCTTAAGATTATCTGTATTTAAGCTTCACAAACAGTATAATTCATAAATTTCAGACAATTTTATTTTGTGATTAATTCCAGTTTCCCCATTGAAATCACACTATGTAGTACTTCACTTTTACCTCCAGTTGTCTCCATTCTAGAATTTTGTGTACACGTTTTTAACAGGTTTATAGCTGTGCTCCAGTAAAGTGCTGTCTGTGATCCTATTCAATCAAATGTGGTTTGGCAGGAGGAACCCGCAGAACTGAGATGATAGGAGGAGGAGGACTGACCACCACAGATGTCATCATGAGGAAACGCTCCGACAGATCGTACACTGATGAGAATATCAGAGACTCGATCGTCATGGGACAGGTGTCCAGCAACTTCCCTGACCTGGGTAAAAGCAATGATTCAATAGTTAACCTAACCTTATTATTTCAGCTGATTTTTTTCTAAAATGCTGACAAAAATGGCCCTCACAGTGATTTCGGGGCTCTGCAGTTTTGGCCTCTATCTTATGTACTGTCATTTTAAGTGGGATCAAGCTCTGCACAGAGGAAAGCTGCTGTTGAGAGGTTTTGACAGGCAGACAGTAGGTGGAGCTTTTGTTGGCTCTTGACAATTCCCATGTCAAAGCTTAGGTCAAAGTCAAAAAAGTCAAAGTCTAATAAAGGAGATGTCTAGATGTCTAATAAAGTTTAAAAAAAAGAAAAAAAAAAGGCTGTTATCAAATTAAGTCTCAGATTAATCAAAGTATGCAAGTAAAAGGTTGATAATACACTCAGGTGCCGGTACTCACCTTAGGGCAGTTCAATGGACGTATAGCAGGTACTACATAATGTAAACAACTAGGGTGTGATAGTTTCAGTGCAGGTAGCTCCTACCTTCAGACAGATATGAGGCAGTGACTCACCAGAACCCTGTCAGAACTGAAGAAGCTGCTTGAATGAATGGTGAAACATATTCACTCAACATTTGTCCAGCTGACAGAATTACATTTTTATTTTGAGATCTTCCCAGAATGGCGGATTTGATGAGAGTTAATAATATAATAATATTGCTTGATAGTTCCGTTTTACTTGACAGTTCACAAAATGGTATAAATTCAAAAAGACTCAAACATACTAGGCATGATAAGGTTTGAAGAATGAGATTTGAAAAGGCTGGGGCTGCTGGCTGCTGACTGTCCCTCCCTCTCTCCCCTCTCCTCTTGTCTTGTCTCTGGTCTGTCCTGCGCTCCTCCTGCTTGACCGCTCCTTCAGGTGGCTTCAGTGGCTTGGCGGGGACTCAGAGCACCTCTCAGGGCCAGTTCAGCTACAACCTGTCCCCGGGTGCCAGGAGCAGGAGTGAGTCTGCAGAGGTCAGCCGGGCCCTGTACAATCTGGACAGGGTGCTCCATGGTGAGTTTTGCCCGGTGACTGCATGCCCCTTCCCCTTATTGCTGCTGCTCTCCAAGGATATAGTGTGTGTTTGTATGTGTTGGCTTTTGTCTCATTATCTGGCTGCTATGTCTACCTGCTTAGAAGCCCGTTCTCCAGGCATCCCCGACACTCCCAGCAGACTGGTGTTCTCCGCTCTGGGACCCACAGCGCTGAAAGTCAGCTGGCAGGAGCCTCACTGCGAGAAGAATATCCTGGGATACTGTGTGCTCTACCAACTGCTCAATGGAGGTACTACTGCTACTATCAGACTTGCTTAAGAATGCCACATATTCGTTTCGTATCGTAAAATAAACTCAAGTATACGGTGTTTAATAGTAATGCAGATGTATTTTTCAACATTGAGATTTTAGAATTTGTATATTATATTTGAAAAAAAAAAACTAATTCACTGGCATGAATCTTTTTAGCCAATGGTTAAAATAAAGCCACCAGTCACTTCTGAGGTCCGTCAGTCAGTGTAACAGATAAACACTTGTATGTATATTGATGGACATACTGTATGTTATTTGCTGCAGCCGAGGTGAAGCGCATTAACATAACAAACCCAGCAGAGAACTCCGTCATTATCCAGGACCTTCTGCCCAACCACTCGTACCTGTTCAAAGTGAAGGCCCAGAGTCAGGAGGGCTGGGGTCCTGAGAGAGAGGGCGTCATCACCATAGAGTCTGCAGTGGACCCCCGCAGCCCCCTCAGCCCTATGCCAGGTAACTCCCTCCAAACTCTGCCTACACATACTGGGCATACACATACATACATACATACATACATATGATGGTGCAAGTTTGGTTTTGATCAATAGTTTTTGTTATCTTTGTTGTACTATTCATACTTATAATAGATAAGTATAGAGTAATAATTGTTAATTTGATTAAACAGCAGTGTTCTTTTGGGGAACGAAATAGATTGTATTAAAGACTGTATTGTAGTTTATGTATAAGAAATTCATATTGAAAGCCATTTGATTTTAATAAGACAAAGTTAAAATCTAATTGAAAATTGATAAATATGAGCACTTATTTGATTCTCCAGTATAAACCGTCATGCCTTTTTTCTTGTGCCAGGGTCTCCATTCACGCTGAGCACCCCCAGTGCTCCAGGACCTCTGATCTTTACTGCTCTGAGCCCAGACTCACTGCAGCTGAGCTGGGACAAACCCAGGAAACCCAACGGAGACATTTTGGGCTATGTGGTCACCTGTGAACAACTGCACGGTGGAGGTAAAACTTACTTTTCACTCATGTATTCACAGTAAGAAGGAATAAATGTAATCTATAGAATTATGTTAACTATCCTATATTTTAGTGACACGAGTAGTCTCACTTTAACATTGCACTTTAACAATACACTTGTTTTGTAGGAGATGTGCGCTCTTTCCAGGTGAATGGTGACAGCTCAGAGACCAGCCTCACTGTTCCAAACCTGACAGAGAATGTTCCATACAAGTTTAAAGTCCAGGCTCGGACCACTCAGGGCTTTGGTCCTGAGAGAGAGGGAATCATCACCATCGAGTCTCAAGATGGAGGTAACTTCTAATATTATGTATTTTTAGAAAGTCTCAAGTGGGAACATTAGTTATCCTGTGTTCTCTTCTGCCCCCTTCAGGAGCTCTGTCGCAGTACAACAGTCAGTCCATAACCAGGAGAGAGGTGTTCCAGCTGCCCACGGAGGTCAGCACACGCACCAACGTATCCCACACCATGATCAACGAGCCATACTTCTCAGGTATCTCATTCATTACATACCATTATGATTCATTTCACTATTAACACACACTTGTAACACTGAAGCCTTTTGTATGTTCTCCAGACGGGATGATGATGACCACTCAGCACACAGAGACCAGTGGCATGGTGACCAGACATGTGACCAAAGAGGTGGTGCAGAGGAGCGTCGTGGGTGGGACCTCAGTCACCAAAAAGATGTATTATGAGTCCTAAACAACACCATTATTTATCTACACTCCAAGATTTATGTCACTTTATAATAACTACTACTGAATTAGCCATCATAAAGCATGAACCAAGACTTAGTTTTTAATGAACTAATAGTTTATTAAGAATGATTTAATAACTAATTAAAGACCTTTTTTAGCCTTCTACCATGTTATAACTCATCAAAATAATTTATTGTAATTAATTATTAATACTTTTTGATGGGTATAGCATTATCAAAACAAAAAAAGGACAAAAAAGGACATGGTGATCTAAATATGTCATATGTTAGCAGTTGATATCCCATAGAAGTGTAATACCCCCTCTTTAAGTAGTAGTAGCCTGAATGAATCTTAATAAACTATTTGTTCATTTATAAATGAGGACTTTGTTCATGTGTTATAACTTTTAAAAGTATATTGGTAGTTATTATAAAGTGTTACTAATTAATTTTATTCTTAAAATACAGATTATGAAAACAGCCACTTCAAGTGTTATTTATTATCATGTTCAGTGCAGCCTGTATAATATTAAGGCGTAGTATTGTGGGCTCTGCACTGGATGTTACTGTTACAAACTGTTACTTTCACTCACCATTCTTTTTCAAGCATGCTGCAAGCTAGAGTTTGTTCAATTATTAAGCCATGGCTGAGCTCCCCCTGTGGGTAAGATGTGGGATAACTCTGTCTGAAGGTTTACCTGAGGGCAGCAGTAATCTGAGCAGGCCTCACTGATCCAAAGTCACCTTCTGTGTAGGGCACATGCTTTGCCTCTTTTCTGTTGTAAACAACTGGGATTGCAAGATTTTTCATACCGAGGGTTTAAATATTTGTTTAATATATTTTTACACAGCAAATCAAATAAGAAATCATGATCATATTTCTAGATAAAAGGAGTTGAAAAAAGACTTTGTACATAGAGGGCTGTATATGTAGTTTAGATCAGTATTCTTGGGGCTGTCATCAGTGTAATGCCAAATACAGAATCCAATGCAATTTCTACTGATAATACTGAGATATTATTCATGTAAAATACCCAAAATGTATTGTTTGCTTTTGTAAGACATTTTATATAGCTGATGCATCTCATATCTTGTTGTCTTTCCCTACACAATGTATTTTTAAAACATTTCTATATTACCACACAGGTATTGGTTTTGTATAGTAATTGCATTGTGGTGTACGAACTGGTCTGAAGTGTTTTGCAGACTGAACAGAAAAAAAGGTCTTTGAATTCATGATTCAAGTAACATAGATAACTCAACTTTTTGCAGTCTTTTATTTGTTGGCACTTTCATTGCACTTCTAAAGAGTTTAATAAAATCTCACATTATTAAAATATAAACCTGCCTCTAAGCCAATATATTACAGAAACAAAGTCATGATTTATTTGTATATGCAATATGAAAAATTAACAAAAGGTCATTCTTCTAATGTCATGTCATGTATGATTAAAACAACAAGTCACATGCCTTAGCGCAGTCTGTTACCTGCTTAAGCACAAACTACATTCATCTGCTGCTGTGAGCTGGCTCCACATCTTCTCATTGTTCTTTTACACACAAGTCCTAGAAGAACATATTTACTACAACACTGTCAGTTACTACGACACTCTGAGTCTAGAACAAGAACAAGGCTGATGGGACATACACATGGTACAAAAGGTGATTGAAGGCAGTGTGTGGTGCACATGTAGAAGCTGGTATGAAGGACTGACACAATGCACAAGGCCCTTACATGAAGAGTCCATGAGGAGCTCAGGTCCAGAGGCAGGCCCCAGGACACAGGCAGGGCTGCCGGGCATGTGCAGGTCTGATCACCAGGTCTCGGAGGACCTCCACAGTCCCAAACACAGGGAACACTCTCTCAGAGAAGTTGTGGCTGAATGTGTAGAGGTGCGAGCGCTTGTCAACGTCATAGAAGGACAGCTGGCCCTGGTCATAGTCCAGGAACAGACCCAAGGTGCGAGGGGCCAGGCTGCGGGGCAGAGCTGTGGGGGGCACAGTGAGAGCCTTCAGCTCAGAGCCCCTCTCCAGACGCAAAGTGAAGAACCCTGTATGTGTGTTCAGAGCTCGATAACCCCGCCTCACCGCAGACTCACAGGCCACGCCCACACGCCAGTCCCTGTCCCCCACCTCCACCTCCCAGTAGTGAGTGCCTGAGGTATAACCCTCCTGGGCCACAGCGCACCACCAACCTGTGAAGCGCTGTGGGCAGCAGGGCATATCCCTCTGCTGGGCCCCCCGCTCTGGGACACAGCGCATCTTCGTGTTTCCCTCTGACAGGAGCAGATCTGCGTGGGCTGAGTCTGGGTCCAGGAACACCTCCTCTGAGGGAAGGAGCAGTAACATCAGATATTACTCAACACAGCTCTTAATGTTTATCACTTTAATTACATACCTGCCCTCTCACACATCCAGTTCCACACTGTGCAAAAAGTAAGTAAGAGATGAGAGAAAATAGCACATTTCAGAAGGTCCAGTGTGACATGATGAATTTGTACAGCATAGAGACTTTCAGAGACTTACCGCCATGAGGGACATAGCGCAGTGCATCTGAAATACAGCAGTTACCAGAATGTCAACACACACTGCACTTTTATGAGCTGAATGTGAGAAGTGCACTCACCCACAGAGCGCCTGCTCTGGGTCCTCTGCAGCCACAGCTTAGGCACGTCCCCCTGCACACACAGCCCTGTCACACACACTTGTACATTCACATTAACAGTACACATGAGCTGGAAAAGCAGACCTTGATGGGAGCGTGTCCATTGATCACAGCCAGGAGGACCAGCTCCATGGCGGGCAGTAGTGTGGGCAGACGTCCTCTCTTCCACTGGAACTCCAGGTCGTCCAACATCATCAGCACAGGCTCCCCAGGCCACACTGAGGGCTGGAGGAGCACAACAATCTATCACTAAACAACACAGTAGCAGCTTAGCAACACAGTCCTGAAAATCAGGCTGTTCATTGTTTCGTGGCCTCTTCAGTTCTGACTGGAAACTGGTGAGTCACTGCCTTAAATCTGTCTGAACGGGGAAGCTAACTACACCAAGATTATTGAGACTGAGACTAAACACAAACTGTAAACTACCAGGTGGGTTAGATTGAGTGAAATTAGCTCGTCTCTTCAGATAGGTATCGGTCTTGACCAGAACTGAACTTGGATGAGTGGAGAATCACTCTAAAACTTTTGTCTAGTTGACAGAATTGAATTTTGTTTTACTATGGAACCTACCTGGACAACTGGGGAATTACACAGACATTCTGAGAGTAATGTGTGTCATATCTAATCTCCTCATTAATGTAAGAACTGTGTCAGCCGTAAGAGTGACTGCTGGTCACTGGGTCACAGGCGTGTATACATAGAGCTTCACCTCAGGGCTGCTCCTGATCTGCCTGCTCCAGTCCAGGATGATTCTGCGGTGTGCCCCCATGTCCCCCTCTCCTCCAGACTCCAGCATGCACAGCAGCTGCTCCCTCCAGTCCCTCTTCTCTGGACGCTCACACTCAGACCTGCTCCTGGGCTGCACACACATATGCACACAGTATGAGAAACGCAAGGAGCCTATGTGTGACGTGTCCTACCGTAGAAGCTCTACCTGGACATGCTTCTCCAGCTCAGAGGACCACTCCACCATGAAGTCCCGACAGACAGTGGGCGCCCACAAGTCCTCGCCCGTCCAAATGTGACTCAGCACGTTCGATCTCTGCACCAAACACATGCAAACGTTACCCCACAACAATTGGCAGAATTAATACCATACCATTTCACAAAATACTATATCCTATTGTTTTGCTTTTTTTTTTTTTTTTTTTTTTTTTTTTTACATTTATAACATTTAGAATTTAGTTTGAGAGTATTTAAAACTATGTCACTTTTCTGGTGGATGTTCTGCCATGTGCTTGTCTCTATAGAAATGCTTTGCCTGTAATGTTCCGTAGTACACTATTAAATGTCTCCATAACAAACAAACAAACAAACACCTGTAACTGAATAAATGCAAGATAGATCAGTTTAGTGCCATACTGTGGAACATTCCAGGCAACATCTTTATGAAGACAAGCAGGCAGCGGACCCACTACTGACACAATACTAACATTTTAAACTTGATTTTCATACGAAGAATTAGGAATGTAACAATATGCAAATCTCATGGTACGATATTATCAGGATATGCATCTCACGGTACGATATTTACTGCAATATATTTGAGAAGCTAATATAATTGTAGATGGGACACTTTTTTGCTTTTTTTCCTCTTCATGTTGTCTGCACTGAAATGAATCATGGGATATGTAGTTCCCCATCTTCAAAAGCTGTTGCTATTAAAAAAACCATGCATTTGAGCAAAGGCACTTGTAATTTGATATATTGTGTGACAGCCCACGATATTATTGTGAGACATTTGACGATACAATATCCCGATATTTCGGTTATTGTTACATCCCTACTAAGAATAGACTTGATACTCAGTAAAAGCACTCTTTATTTGGACAATAGAATGTGATTTTCAACATTAAATCATAGTATTTTTTCTTCTGTATACTCATGTGGCCTTATATCATGGGTGTATACTCGTCTATGTGCTCTTATACTGGTTCTGATAGAGCTTAAGATCATTCTAAAGACATTCAGAAAACGTTCATTTCTGTCCTATTTCTGTCCCGTGAATGTGACTTTTTTAGTATCGATACCAGCTCAAATGAGTATCTAGAATTGATACTAGTTTTAGTATCGATTAGTATCCAATTTCAGGTACTTTTGAAAAACCTAGGACCCACCAGATAGCTTTACATCTAAGACGAAATGGCAAAAAATAAGACCAGTACTTGTTCTTGGAGTAGTATTTTACTTTCTGGGAGCAATTTTCTATAGATGAGAAAATTTACCTGGCAAATTTTGTTGAGCTCTCGAGCCAACTCCATAATGAACAACTGACTTTCCAACAGCGGCTCCTTCTTATCAAGCTTCACTTTCTTGCGTGACTCCTGCAGCCAAAAATACAATCATCACTGACCAAAACCTGACCGGTCTCCATAGCAACCTTGATCCCATACTGATACCTTAAGTCGGATTTTCAGCTTTTTGGCCGGCTCTATTAGAAAATGCAGGCATTCCCTTATCATGTCGACTGCTGGAGGTTGAAACGAAAGCCTGTGGTGCAGAAAACAATCGCCTTAGCAACTTGGCACTAGTTCAGTCACAAGCTAGCACAAATTTTATGAGAAAGCTCTGCACTTTTAAGCACACCCAAGCATTCCCAAACCCAGGGGAGTCATTACGATCCACCTTGATAGCTTGGGGTTGTAGAAGCGATCTAGAGTGACAAGATGCGCAGTAAGTTTTCCTCTCCAAACATGTGTGGGTTGATGGGAATTAGACAGTATTCCGAGGAGATCTGAGGCAGCAGCAGTGGTGGGCTGCTCTAGTGTTGAATCAGCAGTGCTCGGTGCCAGTTAGATGCACTTGGAGAGATGTACGGATCTTTTTGAAAGCCGTGCCAAGTCTCTGCCTGCTACTGACACTGCTGTTGCAAGGGCTATTTGTTTAAAGGGCCTTGATCTATTTGATTTGAAGTTATTCTTGTCAAGATAAATGCTCTTTACATCTTGCACTGCATGATAAGATGAAAATAGACAAAATTATATTCTATTCATTCAACATAGCATTTGATATGGTATTAACTGATACAGAAACTGCACACAGGGCACTTTTTTGTCCAATCAGGTGCACAAGGAATCATGGGGAATTAACTGCCTGACACGATCCCACACAGTTGATTCTGGTACAGGCCCTTTAGTAGGCTATTTGAGTCTGTATCATGACACAGAAACAACCATCATGCAGTTGGTTTCTTACAGTTCTCCAATCTCTGCTACTATTTGTTTTTATGTACAGGGTGATCAGACATCCCTATTTACCCGGGACAGTCCCAGTTTTGAGCCCTGTGTCCCCTGTTCCAGTAGATTTGTCCAAAATTACAGATTTGTCAGAGTTTTATAAAAGAAATGTCCTAGGTGTCCCTATTCTTGACCAATATGATACCTGGCAACAGTAAAGAGAGGCATAAATTGTCACTTGTTTAGGTAAAATACAGAAAGACTGCTTAAAATGACCAAAACACAAAGAAAATGTGACAATACTGGCTCACGTTAGTCCTGAATGTCATGAATGGGCTGAGTGCAGAACAATTTTCCTTAATTACACACTCATTTTGCAGTTTTATTATTACGAGCCACTCCAAACTAAGGGTGTCCCAGTTTTTTGATCTTGAAAATCTGCTCACCCCATTTCATGTCTTAAAATTGCACCATGACAAAAAATTGTGTCTAGGAACAATGTGCCTGATTTTAAGAAAATGCTGTGAATACATAAAAATCCAGTCTCTTTTTTCTTATTTAACAACTTTTACCATACAATGCATGATGTAAAGTTGACAAGAACACATCAAATTAAGTACAGGTCCCTTTGTTGGGGGAATTAAACTAGAAAAAAAAATTACAGTGATATCTGAGTAACCCTTGTTTATGATTAGTGAGGGTGTGCATGACATGTGAAAAAGAGAAAGGGAACATACAGCTTTAGACTTAAACTTGTTAGATAATTAACTAGATACACTACCTTACTAGCAAGATCAGTAGCATCTTCATAGAAACTTCACTTTATTGGATGTGTTCATTGATAATGTCTTTATGCTGTGATTTTAAACTAGCTAGGCTGAATTTTTACTGATTTAACGCGTGGCAACAGAATAAAAAGACAAGAAGTCGTGTGTGCTTGTAAGATTAGACAGAAAATCCTAGATTAGCGTGGGGCGCCATTGGTGGTAAACTGTTCCCAGGTAGGTGGTGACTATTTTGGGACTAGCAGACCAAGCAGCCATTTATGTCATCGTGAAAACAAACTGCAAGAAC